CATTCCTAGCATCTCTGAAAAGATTTGTGTCACGCAGAGGAAAACCCAAGAAAATCTTTTCCGATAGAGGACCAACTTTGTTGGGGCTGATCGAGAATTAAGAAGATACATAGCTACACTTTCCTCTGACGAAGCATTTCAAAACTACCTGAGCGGTGAAAATATTCAATGGATCTTCAATCCTCCTGCTGCCCCTCACTTTGGAGGCCTTTGGGAGGCTGGAGTGAAACAAATGAAGATTCACTTAAAGCGGACTATTGGGACCCAGGTTCTGACATACGAAGAATTTCACACCTTAATTACACAGATCGAGGCGTGTTTGAATTCCAGGCCAATAGTTTCCATCTCATCTGACCCTGAAGATTTTAATCCTTTAACACCTGGACATTTCCTAATTGGGACTACATTAACAGCAATTCCTGAACCTGATCTTACAAATAATAAGCTAACCCCTGCTGAAAGATGGAAATTGACACAGCAAATTTTCCAGAGCTTTTGGAAACGTTGGTCTAGAGATTATCTTTCACAATTACAAGGGCGTACCAAATGGTTGAGGGATAAACCAAATTTAGCCCTCAATGACTTAGTCTTGATAAAGGACGAAAATTTGCCTCCATTAAAGTGGCGACTTGGACGAGTAATTGAACTATATCCTGGTGCTGATGGAAAAGTTCGTGTTGTGAAACTAAAAACTTTATTGGGCGAAATGAAGCGTCCTATACATAAACTTTCCCGCTTACCATTGAGTGAATAAGACTCTAAAAAAAAACAAAACCATTAATTGTATATTCATAATTTGTGTCTTTATTATTATTATTAATTCAATTATGTTTCAGATTCAGAGAATGGACCACAATTGTGGATTATGGTAATTTAGCAGTTTCATTATTTTGTTTTCCTTCTAGAGATTGTAAGTATGTTTTATTTGTAAAATTTTGTGCTAAATTTAATGTTGTTATTCAATTTAAATTTGTCATTATGCATTTTTATTTTATATGATATACTGTTGAACTTTGGAAAACTTGTTTGAATCTAAAATTGAAGATCTTTATAATAATGTTGTAATGAACCAATGTTCATCGGGGCGGAGTATGTTCCGTCTTTTTGGTAGATAGGTGGCGCTCTTGATGCGCGCCGATGAAAAATATATCACTTGACGCTTGAACATGAAGAATGACGCATGTCATATTTATTTGATGCTTGATTATGTTTCATGGCCGCTATAGGCGGAAGTAATATAAGTAATATAAGTTTATCGTTAATAAATGTTATTTCTATGTTCTAAGAAATCTTGAAGTTTTGATTTGAAATTCTAATGCTCTCCCAACCTTGACTCCTGAAACGAAACGATCTTTGAATTTATGACTCATGAAGAGCACATACACTCAAATAAAATCTTTCTTGACCCCTTTACGATAAAGGACATCTGTGAGGAAGATTAAGAATCCAATCGCGCACAAAAATCCTATTTTGTTGCCCAAATATCACATACACAATTAAGGAATCATTTGCAGAATCCATCTTCATGCTGGCCCCCTGCTATTGCATCAGTAATTAGAGGAATATTGGATATCCACGCTAGGTCATTTGTAAGACAACAGATTTGAAATGTGTGAATGTCATCGCGTACAAGCTAAACACATTTACCCAGATAATGTCTGATTTACTATCACCTAGAGTCGTTCCGTCAAAGTTTTCTCCAAAGTGGAATGACTCGCCGGCCATTTTAAGTGAAGCCCAGGCAAGGTCGAGTCAAACCAATGAAATGCTACATTTGTGTATTCGTGTGTTTTACTACAAGAGCTATACATATTGAATTAGTAGGTATCTTACATCAGAATCATTTATTGCCACTTTAAAGAGCTTTGTATCTCGAAGAGGAAACCATAGAAGGGCATAGCGATTGTAGCACAAATTTTATTGCTGCAGATAAGGGATTGAAAAGAGTATAAACTCCTTGAATGAAAATGAATTGGTTATAATATTGCTCTACTGAAGGTATTAAGTGGATATTTAATCCTCCCGCAGCACCACATTTTGGAGGATTAATGGAAGCTGCAGTCAAATCTACAAGTTACATCTCAAGCAAACCATAGGTGAACAACTTCTAACGCAAGAAGAATTTACTAGCTCAAATTGAAGCTTGTTTAAATTCGCGACCTTTGTGTCCACTGTCTGAAGATCCATCAGAATTTTCTGCACTTACGGCAGGCCATTTTTTAATTGGTACCCCGCTAACTGCCTTACCAGCAGAAAGTTTACACATCAAAAAATTCCTATATTGCAACGTTGGAAGCTTTTTGAGAAAATGTTTCAAAGCTTTTGGAAAAGATGGGTCCAAGGAATACATTTCTAATTTGCAACGACGTTCAAAATGGTTGAAAGTGCAATCTAATTAAAGGTTACTGATTTAGTTATCATAAGGAAGACATTTATCCCCGCTACGATGGAAATTGGAAGAGTGCTGGAGGTTTTTCCTAGCTCAGATAATATTGTGCGTATCGTGAAGATCACAACTGCTAATGGAGTTTTCAAAATGCCAATTCACAACTTAGTGTTTTTGCCTATCATGATTAATTTTTTTTCCCTAAAGCATTATAACCATTGTAATTTGCTTTAACTATAATTAAGTTCCTGAATTGTATCAAGGCTTCTGTGCATCTGTTTGAGAACAATTAGTTTCATTGCATAATTTCATATTTTGTTTTCTTGTGAATATTTTAATGATACATTTTTGCGTAATGTAATATTGTTATGATAATTTCATTTTGTAAAAGCTATTTAGTTTGAAACGATGTTTCAACGCCGGGTGGAATGTTTCGGCCACCAGAGCTCTCTGCCTGTCTGTGAGATATTATTTCACAATGCGCAGATTATATGCGTAGCTCTCATTTTGTTCTTGCACTCTTAAAACCGCTAATTGTAACTCTGTCGTTTTACTTTGTGCTGTGTTGTGTTCAAAAGTTCAAACTCCCGAATAAAGGTTAATTTACAGTCCACTCGCATTAATGTATTCTTAGGTTTATTAATTTAAAGTTAAGATACCGCTACGCTACAATATATAATATATATATTTTAAATTAAAAGAGGAATATAAGGAAATAAAATACTTAGCCATTTAAAACATGTGTAGGTTTTTGATTTTCATGTTAACAACAACATAATTTTCGTGTATTTAATAATGAAAACTTTAATTTTAAATATAATAATTGGTATGTTAAAATAATTGAGACATTTTATGTAGGTAAAACATTCAAGATATGAAAGAGATTTGGTGTGCATCAAATGTGTGTGAGTGAGTGTATTTAAAAGTGAATTATGTGTAATTAAAAGTTGTTGCAAATTGTATAAATTCAGTTTTAGAAAAAATACATGCTGCAGAAGATCACATGACAGTATTTGTCGTAATATTAAATTAGTTACTTGATTTTAAAAATAACAATGAAGTAAACATATTTTTCATGAAGGTTTTTGTGTTCTATGACCAAACATATAATGTAGCAAATCAGGATAAGGGAGTGTTTTTTTTTTTAAAAAAAAAAACTTTATTTTATAAGCAATATAAAAATACTCGGTATTTTTAGTTCTTCCAATAACTAAATTGAGTACATTCTTTTCCTGTCATTATATTTTGCAGTGAGGGCATAAAATACAGATGTATACCAGTAAACAAATTATGATGTTTTACTTGAATTTAATGTCCTCAAGCACATGCTGCTCTAACATCTGATCAAAACATGGTCTTCAACAAAACCCTATCGTAAAAATATAATATGTATTGAAACATTTCCATTATACACATTATAATTCTTCACTGATATAACAGGGATTTAAATTATGGATGATACATATATGAAGTAACTAGTATTACAAAACAAGCTATTGACTATCATTAACTACTCCTGCCTGCCCATCATTAACAACTCACTTTCTGTAATTAATAAGTTGGTATGGAACACAATAATATATTCCTGAAATGTCAACAGCAGCATGGACATATTCTCCTGCTTGATATATATTACTGCAGTTCATGCTAGTTATCTGTACTGGTAATGTAATTGTACTGTGCTTTGTACTGCTTATATAATCTATACTGGCTCCAAAACCTTTGACAGTCTAGGTGATAAGTATATCTGGTGTTATGTATAATTTTAGTGTATTAACAAATCAAAGCAAAATATATCTTTTGTTTAGTTGTCTCTTGTGGAAACAACTTAGCAGCTAATAAAGGTTAAAGTTTTCACCCTTTGGGTGAAAGATATTACACCCGAAAGGGCATTTTTTAAATATTTTATGTGTTAACTTTATTTATTAAATATCATGTTCTTTGCACATAAACCATAAAATTCAATTCAACAGCAATATCACAAAATATTTGAAAAGAGCATATCTTGAGAATTTCCGATGCACAGTCTCGCGTGCTGGAGATAAAAATGTCCCCCCCGTACAGTGTTGCCATTTCTCGCTTTAAATTCATTGAGTTTTTTAATAAAAAAAAATCATTAAATTTTTACAAAATATGAAATAGATAATTAAACAAATTTCAAATTTGGACTTGCAGATGCCCATACTCAAGTGGAGGAATATGTTATTCAAAATTTGATGTCTCTAGGTACCATTATTTTTTCACAGTACAAGATACATGCATGTATTCTTGCAGATCCTTTATTATTTAATTTCTTTAAATATAATGCAAGGCTCTAATATTTGGTGGCAACAATTTGACAAGTGAAATGCCATTTTATAGTGGACAACACAAAATGCTAAAACGAAATTAATAGCCCTTCCTAGTAAATTTTCCCTTTGGGCTTAAAAAGAAAAGGAAAAAAAAAAAAAAAAAACTAGGAAATTTTGTTGTTAAATTAAAATACTTGTGCCAGCACTAATGTAAGAAGTTAATATTTATTATGCATATATCACTTTTTTTTTTTTTTTTTTTTTTTTTTTTCAGATTTATAGGACTTTAAATGAAGTTTAAAAATCTGTGACCTAAATGACTGCTTTTGTTAGCAATAGTTCAAGTTGATCTTATATGTAATAAAGAATAGAAAAAAAATATTTGTATATTAAATGTATTTATGAGGAATTTGTGAATCATAAAGATACGCATTAGCTATGTGTTAAAAAGAACTGTGAGATAATTATCATGAAATCATTTCAACTGTTTTAGTTTGGTATCATATGAAATTATAAGTTTAGGTAATTTTAAAGTGTAATATTTCAGCAAGCTGTACATCAGCTTAAAATCTCAGTTAACTTTGTGTGTGTGCTGTATATTTAAATATGGTTTTAATAAGGATCTTTTCCTCCCACAAGAATATGACAAATCGAAATGGTTCCTCGTCCGTCGTTTTTTCCTTACTGATCCTGTCAGTGGTATAGAAGAAGGAGCTAATCTAATAGGAAAATCTCATCAGCCTGTTGCAAAAGTATTCAGATATGCTGCTGATGTATCATTGAAGTACAGTATTTTTTAATTATATATTTTTTCTCTTTTATATATTTGTTATTTACTTACTAACATAACATGCTAAAATTCTTTTCTCTTTTCTTAGAATTACTTTAAGGCCAAATGGAAAGTCTGGAATGATTTATCCTCCTTTACTTACAATTTCCTATGCAGAAGCCACACCCGATGATTACATGAGAGATAAAAAAGTTAAAGTAAATATCATTTTTGCAATATTTATTCTGTTGTATTATCAGTTTTACACAATACATAATTAATAATTTATAGTATAATGTTGTATATGTTGGTAACATATGAGGAGATATGATAAATATATTGTCAAATGTATATAAAATCAATGGATTTCAACTCATTAATACTGGACATATATATCAAGGAATCATTTTTATACATAAAAGTGTTAAAATTATTTATAAATCAGAAATAATTTATATTTTAAGAAAATCATTTATAAATGTGTATTTTAGGGGCAATAGGTATTTTGAGAGTAGTTGCTGAAATAATTTTCATACTAAATAATTCATTCTTGCATGTTTATTTTGTCTCAAAATTGAAAAAATAAAAATTTAATAACTGCATTGTAATAATTACAAAAACTATATAGTATGATTTTTTTAAAATTAAAATTGATGTTCATGTCTCTAAATAACATAGTAGGGGTAATTTTTTATGTATTAAACATGATTTATCATTTTTTGTGATTTTTTGTGAGATCATCTGTATTTCTTATTAGTTATTGGGAAGAAAAATTTAAGTTACTTGATGGTTCATTATATCACATTTGACTGAGCGTCGCCTGGGATAACCACTGACCTGATTTTGTTGTATAAGCCTTACAGTGTTAATAGTCATTCTGGCAGAAGGAATTATTTCTTCTATATAAAAATATAAATATTACATGGGCATACAAGGCCTGTGTATTAGCATGAATATGTTAATTAATGACATTGTCTTGTACAAGTTACATGAGATAGTTAGATATAATCATGAGTTATGTACACATTTAAACATAATCTGATTTAATATTTTCAATACTTTTACTGAGATAATCAAATTAAACTTGTAATTCAGCTACACATTGACTGGGTTTTCTATGTCCTTTTTAACTGCTTTATAGCATTATTTTTAACAAGTACATGCAAAATGGAGGGCAATCAGCTTATAATAGTTTTTGCTCTTACAGTCCAGTTGCTATTCTACAGGGTGAGCTATTTTTCTAATGTTGATTTTCAGTTGTTGTAGTACTATCTAATTTAAACTGGGTAAGGAGTTACTTAACTCAATTTTCTGGTACCTAAGCTGATTTGCATGGAATAGTTGCAGTACCTATCAAGGGAGTAACTTTGTTACTGTTCAGTTATTTATATGTTACTGTAAGAGATAACGACACTAATCTGCTGCTGTGTTATATGTGAATTGTCAGTTCAATGTACCTCACTTTTGTAAGGCCTCTCCCCACCACTTTGATTTGCTATTGAAATTAAGCTGCGGAAATCCAATTCTGAAGGGGGGTGAATTTCTTTATACCTTGATGAGTATAACCTGATCCTCCTCTATCTTAGTTTTCACCTGCTTGTTGCCGGAGTTATTCTCTGCCCATTGCAGCCAGTATTCACTGCTTCATGTTTTTAATGCAATGTATTGGTGTGTGGGCAGTTGTAGAGATAGTGATCTGCTGTACCTACTGCCCCACATTAGCATAGTTCACAATCTTGTTTGCCAACTCCTTTAAGATAATGTGGGAAGGGACCATGGCCAGTGTAGAAGTGATTTTGTGCGTTGCTGTATGTTTTAATTGAGCATGAAATTTTTGGAACTTGTAGGTTTTCCTCCCTGTGCTTTCACATTCCCATCTTTTCTGCCATTCTTGTACAAGGCTACTGAGCATAATTTGGTTGATCTTTACATTATGGTAACTTGGTGATTTTTTGGCGAAAATTTGCCGACCAACTCTCCTACAGCAACCCTCCATTTTTTTTCCCCCGCCGCCATTTTGTCTTCACGAAGTAAAGACATGTTTCTTTTCTTTTTATCTCCTGAACACTTCTTCCAACAATCTACTAGCCGAATTACACTTATGCTAGAAATTTTATCAAACAAAACTGCTTAATCATGACAAATATTCACTGCAAAATTAGGAAAAACTGCACAATACCATTCTCCTTACGCATTTTTCAAAATAACACATACACATAAACCATGTACACGCCGACTTATTTTTACTTAAAAAAACATCCCAGAATTGCACAAAAATGGCATTACGCACACTCTTCACTATATCCATGTACACTGCTTTTTTCTCATAAATTAAAAAAATTTCGCGAAAATACATGACAATTTTCTCAATCTTTAAACCCGGTAGAAAGAACATATATGAAATTACATGATCGCGAAAAAGTATTTACCCTTTACAAATATCAACATTTCCACATATAAAACAAAATAGAATATCCAAAAACTTTTACCTCTAAATCATCTATTACATTAAACACGTCACCAATGAATTCATACCTCAAGCTTTACAAATACTTAATATCAAATATTTAAATTATTTCCATGCACGTTTATTTCAACTTAAACGTATACCAAATTCCTACAAACATAAAATTCACAAAATAACTATCATTTCATTAAAATATAATTAAATTCAAAAACACTTCTTAAAATAATAAATGAGCACATACATTAAATTAATAAAAATTACCTTACAATCCTAATTACTTTAAACTAAATCATTGCTAATAACAATTTTCCCAATAATACCAAATCCTTTCCACCTTACATTTACAACAAAGCATAAAAATAATATCCTCAAATAATTAAAAATACTAACTTACCTAATCTTCTTCAGAATCTTGATTACGTGGCGGATACACTTTTCTTACTTCTGTTTCAGAATCTTTAAAATCATACTTATCTTTCAAAGCAAGATACCAGGTAAAATAAATAACATAATAAAACATCTTTATTTCTCTCTCGCACAACCTTAAAAAAACATTTATTACTATCCTTTCAATACCACTAAATACCCATTCGAATTCACTTTAGTTACGGCCATGGGATCAAAAAATTCACAAACACTATTTCACACAACACAGAATAAAGCCAAATACAAAATTGCCAGATTTTTTCTCGATTAAAGAACAGTAATTCGACCATTAATATCACATAACATATCCCATGATCTCTCATTTCCCTCACACAAAATAATGCATAATCAGAACTGAATACTACTCACATTCTGAACAAAGTCTAACTAACCTAATCTTCTTCCGAATCTTCCTTACATGGTGGATACACTTTTATTATGGATTGAATAAAATTACTGAACGATTTTTTTTCCGAATTTGATAAAAAAAAATTTTCTTTATCACATCTACAATTCACTTTAGACAGCGCCATACAATCCCAAAATTATTCAACCCTACTTCACACAACACACAATGAAGCTTAATACAAAATAATACACATCCACAGATACTTGTCCAAATTCCCCCCTTTTCCGATTAAAGAACCGTAATTCGTCCATTAATATCACATGACATATCCCATGCTCTCTCATTTCCCCCACACAAAATAATGCGTAATCTTAACTGAGTACTGCTCACATTATTACCAAAGTCCCAGGTAGTAACCTTTATCGCCTCCAAAATGTCGCCAAACTACCAGTTACTATATTGTAAAGATCAACCCATAATTTTTTTTAAATAAGACTGTGGCACACTTATTGGATTTTCCAGTCTACAGGAGTCATTGACTGCAGATTTTGCAAGCAAGTCCGCCGCTTCGTTGCCAGTAATACCCACATGAGGCTGGAACCCAGATCAGTCATCTGGTGGGATCCTTAGGAGAATTTTTTGTATATACCTTGCACTAAAGGACTCTTCCTCAGATGGCCTCCAAACTTGAGGCAGAGTTTGGACTCCAAACTGGCTGCTTTTAATGGTAGACGTTCCATCTGAAGACGGTACTTTTGCCATCCAATCTCTTTTCCAACTTTTTACCACTTCTCCTCCTTGGAGTACACAGTAGGTGCAGCTTGTGCCCTTCTCTGTCTTTGAACCAACTGTATGCTGGCTAGTGCTTACTCATCTGGCGGGGTGTGTTGCAGGTGTACTGTTTGTGATAAGTCTGCATCTGCAGGGTGTCCAAGCATGATCAGCTTGCACTTCTCATAGTCTGTATGGTAGAATGTCTTTTGCCACAGAGAGACGATATCTTCCAGGTGCAACATCCTTACTATCTGTCTCCATTAGAAGGTCCAGTGGAGGGATACCTGCCAGCATTTGAGCTGCCGCAGTTGGGGATGTAACCTTTTGCATATTATCAATAGTTGCATTCTTTGGATCGTGAGAAGCTGCCTCCTCATATTGGCAGTGAGCTTCCTTCCCCATATAATATGATCCTTTCTGAGATTGTTCTGTACCAGCTTTTGAGCATAGTGCTTGGAGTACCCCAATGAGGTCCTGTTGTTCTAACCATGGAATTGTTAAGCTGCTTAGATTATTTAATGTGTGGTACCCAGGAAAACCTGTTGTTAATTATAATACCTAGGTATTTAAGGTCTGTGACTCCTTTTATAGAAACTCCATTTAGCTTAATGCTTGAATTCCGATTTTGCACTCCATGCCTACATATAAGCAGTTGTGTAGTTTTATCTGCTGAGATATTCAATTTGTGCTCATTTGCCCAGCTTTTAAAAGTATTGATCACATTTTGTGCCTTTAGTCTAATGTCCGTGCTACCATAAATGACCAATAAAAAATCATTCACGTATGCTTAAATACCTACTCCTTGCTGTTAGTCATAGAGTGCGAAGGCTGTGTTCCTTACAAGAAGTGTAGGTCCCAAGCAGGAACCCTGGGGACAACCTCTTTCATGCTTGACTTTGAGTATTTCATTGTGTATTGTAACCTATATCCAACGATCCTGCAAGTAGCTGTGTATAAGGTTCAGGATTTCTTATGGGCATTTGATGGTGTCTAGGCATTCGACTATGTATGGCCACTATAATGAGCTGATTGCCCCTTTGATGTCCAATGATATAACAAGCGTGTTCAAATTGTTGTCATTGTTCTGCTTTGTGTTATCTAGTAGTTGTTGTAAAATATTGTCTGTGAACTTTCCTGTGCAGAAGCCATATTGTTTTTCATTTACAGTCTTGTTCTTGTACATGTGGAAATTAAAGTGGTGTAGAATTACTTTTTCTAAAATTTGGCTGACTGAATGCCAGGTCTGACAGGTCTTTGCCCTGCTTGTGAAAAAGCGCAATTTCGGCTAGTTTCATGCTTCTAGGGAATTGTCCCAGTCTCCAGCAGGCTGTGCATAGTTTTCGAAACAACTGTGGGAATTCTTTATGAATTTCTTTAAAAATGGTATTATCTGTACCATTGGAACCTGGTACTTTTTTGTCTGCTAGGGCTTTGATGATATGTACTTCATGGTCTGTAGGAAGAGTAATATCTCTGTTCTGCTTTTTCTATTAAATTTTTGTTTTATTTCTGAGTGAGTTACTAAATCATTTTCCATCTTGTCTTTAGCAAAGATTGTTTCTAGGATGGTGTTTAGAGCTTCTGTTTTGCTTTTTGCATTCTGTTTTACTTTAGCAGTAACTTGTAGGGGTTGAAAAACCTTATTTGTGGCTATTTTCTGTAATGTACCATAGGTGCTTGCACGTTGTTACAGTGCCTACACCATGACTCTTGATTTGCAGCCTTGATTTGTTTTTTGTATTGAGCTAGTTTCTTCCTGTAGCATACCAACTTTAATATTTCCCACTCTTTATCATTCTCCGCTTGCACCTGTCTTCTCAGGGCTCTTATTTTGCTTCTTCTTTCCTTGAGGTGGGTGCTTCACCATGATGTAAAAGTTTTCGGCTTTATTGTTTTAAGTTTGTAGGAAGCTCTTGCTGCCTGAGTCAATTTAGCTATGATGAAGTCATATGTAGTGTCTAGCTTCTCCGCAGTTTCGCAGATATCCAGTTGTTTCAAGATTTCGCTCACTCATGGCCTGAAGTAATATTTTAAAGTGTTGTGCCCTCTGTAGCAGATCTTGAATCACCTTTTTGCTAGGTATGTGAGTGTACTATTGATCTCATATTGTATTATATGATGGTCACTCAGAGAAGGTACGTCCATCATTTCCCAGTTGTTTATATACATGGACACTGATGATGAGACAAATGTGACATCTGGAAAGCCTTTTGCTCTTCCATTTTGAAATTTTGGTTGAGAGTCTTCTTTATTTATTACTGTTAGTCCGTGAGCTGTCCCATATTCTAACAATTTCTGCACTGTGCGATTTTCTGTCTGTGCTTCCCATAAAGGGCTGATGGCGTGACCAGCCACCAGTCATTATGCTATTCTGATAAGACCAGTCACCAGCCACTATGGTATTCTGAAGTAAGGTTGGGTTTTATTCTGGTAGCAGACATTCAATTTGCATGCTTGGGAGCACGTAAACGCGAGTGATTGCTATTTTCATGTTGAAGGATTCAATCAAGATTGTTACTATGTAATTTATCATTTCCATAAGCAATGGATTTAGAGGGCTGTTATACAAAATGGCTGCCATTCTTGTACTGGAGGCATAGGATTTATACTTGTTGAAGGTTGGCCAAGAAGTTTGCTGTTCTTGTAAGAGTGCCAGGTCTGCTACTCTGGAAGACATCACCTCCATGATAATGAGTGTGGCTGCCGTTGCCCTTTGGAGATTACACTGTAAAATTTTGATGTTGATGCGCTCTCTTCTATAAACTTTTCTCTGTTATTTAGTAGACTTCCTGGCTGAGTTCATTCTCACCAATTCTTGTCTGAAAGATGAACATTTCGATGTGCTTGTTGGATGTTGCATGTCAAAGGTGCTACCTATCATCTTGTTAGCGAGGCTGCTGTTGACTTTTCTATTGGGTGCCCTTTGTGATGCTTGGAACAGGCTGTACCCGACTTACAGTAACGTTTGTAGTGCCTGGATTCTTGGCAGTTGTCTCACCTGGAGCTATTCTTTGAAATTGTAGTGATTATGTCCAATGTAGATTCTTTTCTTTTCTAATACCTGTATGGCCTGTTCTCTTGCAACAACCACTGGCCAATGGCAGGTGTTATCCTCCTTTGGGTAAAAATGAATAGGTAATATAAACTTTTGTGTTACTTTGGAAAGTTGGAGAAAGCTTCTGTGATATCTGTAGCAGTACTGTATTGTGGTACTTCAAAGACTATTAAAGTATGTGGTCTGAGCACTCTTACATTTAATGTGTTTTCTAATTCCGGAATTTCACTGATGGTGGTCCAGGTCTGTCTTCTCTCTACACCTGATGAGTAGTTCCTGTGAGTGCATAGGCCTTATTTCTACAAAGTTAATCCCCACTTTGCTAGGCTTAATACTACTGACGAGCTGCTTTTTTATGCTTTCAGTGCGACTCATATCTGTACTTTTAATAAGGAATACATGGTCAGGAAGCTTTTTGGCTGGAGAAACTTTTTTAGTCTTCTGTGTCTGTTAACCACAACGGAAAAACTTTCACTTACTGCTTCTTCTCCCTGCTGCTGCCTGTTTCCTGTTTGTTGTACTGGTGCAGTTGTTGGTATTTCTATGGTTGCTTCTATTGCTGCAGAGGAGTGCCATTGTAAATTTAAATGTCTTGTTAATTCCAAAATTTGCTCCTCTTGGTTGGCTATAAGGATCTCTTGCTTTGAAGCTATATTCAGGATCTCTCAAATAAAATCCTGTATTTTATCGTGACCTGCAGTCTTAAGCTGGGATCTGACCTTGCACACTGTAATGTGCCCTCTAACGTTCTCCATAATTGCGTTAATTTTCTCCAGTTATGAGGGCCATTAGACGATGGTCTGTCGGGAATATTCAAGGTAGAATCTTTGCCTGTTTTAGGAGAGTGACCCCATTAAATATGGGGAATCTGCACTGCTTACTTCACTTTTGTAATAAAAAAGATAAGCCCTAATCAAAGGAACCTGAAGCTGAATGTACTAAGTACTGTGGCCAAATATGGCTACAGGAAAATACTGGTACTTTTGATAAGGAGAACAGTGGTGAGAGCCACCAGCAGCAGTTATTGGTACAAAACAATTGAGAAACTAACAACAGTAAGTTATATGCTTATATACATACATACTTTAATACAACAATTAATACATCAAATAAAGGGGCAAATAAAATGAAAATTAATGCACAATAAGTTATGAAATTAGGTACCAAAATATTTAACAAGGCATGCTGAAATGTGCCTGTGTTGCAAAATTATCACACGACCAGCGAAAATAACAGAGCCCTGTTATCCGAATTGCACAAAATTAATAATTATAAATATGGCACATACACTACTGGCCACCATAAATGCAACACCCTGAAGGAAGCATGCAAATAACATGAAATTTACAACATGCATTAGCAGAGGTGAGATATGCAAATGATTAGAATTAAATGCAAACACGTAAAATTGTAAAAATCACTTGATAAAATTAGAACTATTGGACCTAAAATTCTAAGATGCACATCAAATTATAGATAATTCAGAGGCTTACCTTTTTGCTGTATAATGCTGCAGCACTCCCAGTAGATGAAGAGGTATTAAAGAATTAAGCCTTGAAAATGGCACTTGTAAAGATACTGTATAAAAACATCACTCACTATCACACTACAGACTTGAGACTTGTACCAGAAGCAAGCGGAAAGTACCAGCTGACTGATGGTACGTAGATTAAAGTTGGTTGGCTAAAAGGTGCTGAGATACCCTTTAATATGAAATCACGTATGAGTGGCACTTCACTGAGATGATCAGTCCCCAGCTCCATTTATAATGGTAATCACAAAGACAATGGAAATAACATTTTAATAAACCACATCTATGGAACTATTCAGCATAGCCACAGGAAGCTGACATCAAGTTGAAACTCTCAACGAGACCTTTTCATTGATATATGAACTTTTGCACTTTAAAACAGCACTTTTACCACATAAAACTTAGAGCTCGCTTCTGCATGTGTGCACTCTCTTTTGCAGGTCAAACCCTGGCCCATCACATTTGACTGTTTTTATATTGATATTTGTTATTATTCTTTATTTTAATATATTACTAATTTAAATATATTTATTGAGTTTATGGTATATGTTACTGATATATTTTTATAGATGAAATTTGAAGTTTCATATGAATTGGACCAGTCTACTACAATGGGTGGAGTAACGGTATTACTATACAGCTTTATAATTTTCTTTTGCTTGTATATTTTATACTTTTGTTCTGTATCTTTATGAAAATATAGTAGAATTCTAATTATCTAGGGTGCACAGATATCTGAAAATGCAGTTACTTAGATCATTTATTCTTGACATTGCAAAATTATGCTGGCATTTGTTTTTAATTTTTTGTAGAGTTAAATATTGTCAAAAGCTAATACAATACTGTGCATATGTAGATTGGCCTACAATATTCAGCTAATAAGTAGCCTGTAAACAGTAATGTAAAAGCAGTTATACCTGTTAGATGCTTATTGCTTTTTATTTACTCCATAAATCATTGTTTCCCATGACAAATGCTTCTTATCTAAATAAAATAATAAATATGGTGACAAAGTATCATTTCCTTTCAATGCATGGTGTTGTTGACCATTATGCAGTGCAGTATAACTGCTGGTAATTTTTTTTATTATTCTTTTGGTGTATATCATATATGATTACACGTGTGTTTAATGTAGTTTTTAATTCTTAAAAAAGAAATAGTCCTTTTTTTGCAATACTTTATATATGTATTGCAATATATGTGATAAAAACTTGGAGAGAGGGCTGCATAATTAGAAAGATGACGCTCGAAGGAGGGACACAGAGATGTAGCCGAATGGAGCATAATCTTTATTGCTGGACACAAACTAATTATGAAAAAGATATGTTTTATCACACGTAATCATGAGCATAGCACGCAGGCCACAATTTTACACAGAGTATAAAATTTTTAATAATGGTATAGTTTATAGTATGACAGAGTACAGGCAAAATGAAATAGCGTCCATGCGGAACAGAGCTGCAAGTTAACTGCGCATATCAGCATTGTGCAAGCTATGCAAGATGGAATGATCTAGAAATGATGCAATCCAGAGAAGTTATTACAATTTTTAGAACAGAGAGAGAGAATTAAAGGATTACGAATAGTTTAAATTGTGATTTTGGTAAAGGTAAATGACAATAAATTGACAAAATCATGATTTTGAAAGTTCTTAAGCTCTGTTGTCAAAATAATAGAAGAATGTCCCAATGAAAAGTTTTTCAAAGTTTTTAATGAAATAGTTCTGCAGAGTTCTTGACTGTTATGAAAATTTCAAATTTTATCACAGACAGTTTGTAAGTAATTGAATAAAGTCTTCCGATTGTAAATGCAGTACAATAGCATAATAATATAATAGAATAACTTTGATGATTAGTTGGCATGACCTCTCCAAACAAAATCTGTGTACAAACTTGCTGATGGTTGGGGGATGTTAAGTACAATAAATCAAAAAACCTCCGTTCTTTAAAAAAGGTAACTAGTTTTTAGCACTGTACAATTATCAAAGTTTTCTAAAATTTTTAATATTACTTACTTAATTGAAATACAAAAAGATATACAAACTTATGATTGAAGTTTAAGAAAAATAATTTCTATGATCAAGTTAATTTTTTTTAATTTTGCAAAATATTAGAAATGAACAATAAGAATTTTTTTTTTTTTTTTTTTTTTTTTTTTTTTTTTTTAAATCTTATAAAATGTGTGTGTATGTAGTACTTTTGTGCTAAACTATGGCCAGAGGATTGTGACTGGTAAGGAAATATAAAAACCAAGTTAATTTTGTAGCCATAGCTGAATCCCCTAACAAAATAAAAATAAAATTTTAGAGATAGCTAGGACTGTTCCTGGGGGAACAGCAGGCATGTGCTATCACTGCTTGTGTCCTCCTTAAAAAGAGAACACATAACTTGAAACTTGGATTAGATAATAATAATAAAAATATGTTGTCTTTGAGTGAGAATCTGCTATTAAATCCAGATTTTTCAAAATATAGTGGTAGAGCTTTTCTTCTCCTCATCTCCGGCCTATGGGGGACAACGTCCACAACAAATTTTTAATGGAAAAACTCTGGGTTGAAGGAAAGGTAAGATAGGAAAGGAGCCGGATGGGGTAAAGTCAAAATCAAGAAAATTACTTGTAATAATTAGGTTTTAAAATCTTCATCAGGTTGAAAAAATCAAAACTGTGTAAGATATTTTGATGCATAATCTGGAAAACTAAAAATAAATTAATTTTATATAGAAGCAGGGATTTTACTATTTCTAACAGTTAATTTAAATTCACTAGCTGGATTTAAAGGTTTGAATTTGGTTGACTGCACAATTTCTGATTTCTTTTTTGGTACGAGGATTAGGCTTATCTGTTTCAAAAGTAACTTCAGAATATTGTTTTAAAATTTTGTAAGGGGCCTGAGAAAGGAGGAGAAGGTTTACAGGTATTAGGATATTCATATTCTTCATTGACATTTGTGGCCACAATTCACTTGGCACTCTAATCATACCTATTTCCAGAACATTTACATTTTTGATACTTTTGCAATAGGAAGGAAGCACAGCAAAATTACGTAAAAGCAGCGCATAGACAGAAGCTAAAGTGCGTAGTTATCCAATATGGCAGGCTGTGAAGAGAAAGGTTTTGCTTTAAGTTATCAAAGTTTAGGTTCCCAGTTACTACTTCATCAGCATTATGCAAGCTTTGTGGCATAGATTAATCTAAAAGTGATGCAGTCCATAAATGTTATTATTGCCATTATTAATTTATTATTTGAAAGATTTAAATTTTACATATTCCCTGCCTTCAAGAAGAAAATGGTTGGATGAGAAAAAAGCTTTTTTTTTTAAGAGAAAAAGCACTAAAACAGTAGCAAATGAATGTAAATCATAAAATTTTAACCAACATAGTTAATTAAATAATTATAAAGTATAATATAAATTTTTAAAAATAAATTTAATTTTTAGAGTCCTATTAAATATTTCAGCATTAAAGTCCAAAAGTATTTTGATTTGAGAGTTCATGTAATCATAATTCTTCAAGGAAGGTTCTTGTTGCATGCTGGAGATCAAAAAAAAAATTTTTTTCTGTGCAGTGTTGCCATTACTCACTTTGAAATCATAGAGTTTGTTAATCAAAAATTCATTAAAGTGTTACAAAATACAAAACTGATAATAAAACAAATTTCAAATTCCAAATTAGGGCTTCCAGATGCCCATATTCAGTGGAAGATTACATTATTCAAAATTTGATAGCTCTAAGGTACCATTGTTTTAACACAGTGTGAGAAACATTCATACATTTATGCAGATTCTTCATTTTTTAATTTCTTTAAATATAACACAGGGCAATAATATTTGGTGGCAACAATTAAAAAAATGAACTGACATTTAACATTTTCAACGCAAAATGCCAAAACGAAATTAATAGTCGTTCTGGGCAAATTGCCTCTTTGGATTAATAAATTATTAAATTAATGATAAATAGTTTAATAAAAAAAATAAAATACCAGACCTTGTCTTATTTGAAGCTCCAAATTGACTTACAGTTTCATTCAAAAACTAAGAAATAGCTTAGCAAGCTTCCGGCTGAATTTAAACCCTAAATATACAGTATAACGTGATATTTCGATTTATTGGCTGTTCTTTTCTTAAAAGTCTTAACCTGCATCCATTTTCATAACTGCCAGTGATTCTGAAAACTCTCCTACTTGACAAAAAAGGCCATTAAATATTAACTTGTTCCAGACCAAAATCAAAGACAGTAGATGTTACTGGACAGCTACCCAGCAAGGTATTCCCTACAGCGAAGTTGTCATAGCCTTTGTGGTTTGAAATAAAAAAAAAGTATAAAGAATAAATAATTGAAAATATAAAGTAGAGCAGTATATACTGTTTCAAAAAGAAATTACACTTATTTTTATTAGTCCAAAGGAGCTTTGTCCCTGAAGGACTGTTGTTTTCGTTTTGCGATTTTGTGTTGAATCACTATAAATTTCCATTTCACTTTTCAAATTGTTGCCACCAAATGTTAGAGTCCTGCATTATATTTGAAGAAATAAAATAATGAAAAATCTGCATAATTGTATGTAAATTTCTTGCATTGTGGTAAAACAACATTACATAGAGCCATCAAAATTTTGAATGACGTAATCCTCCTACGAATATGGGCATGTGGAAGACCAAATTCGGAATTTGTTTTATTATCGATTTCATATTTTGTAAAACTTTAACGAATTTTTTATTAACAAACTCAAGGATTTCAAAGCAAGCAATGGCAACACTCTACAGGGAAAAAAACGTTTTTATCTCCAGTGCGTGGAACTGTGTATCGGAAATTCTAAAGATATGCTCATTTTAAAATTATTTTGCGACATTGCTATTGAACTGAATTTTATGGTTTAAGTGCAAAGAACATGATATTTAATAAATAAAGGTAACACACAAAACGTTAAAAAAAACGCCCCTTTGGACAAATTTAAAATCTGAAACCTTTCAGATTTTTTTATTAAATTTTTACATATGCTTGTTATATAATGTTCCTAGACCACTGTCATTCATCTTTCATTTTTGTTATAAAGTTGCATTGTAATTTGTTATAGGTATTGTGCAGATTTGCAGAAATGTATGAAAAATTATCTAAAATAAAACCCTCTTGTGGGGCCCCTCTTGAATTTGGGGCTTGGAAAGACCTTCATTTTCCCTATCCCTTGTATGCTTTGCCATATTCAAATAACCTAACCATTACTGAAATTATTATAAATATAGCGTACAGGAGGAAAAAAGAGAGAGAGAGTTTGCAAATATTAAATAACTTAATTTAGTATGAATAACTGGAGTTCTGCTGTACTTAATTCATTAAATTGTGTTTTAAATTTTTACTATATTATAATCTTTTTTCCATTAACTTTTGGATTTCTAGATAGCTTTGGCAGTTCTGAGTTCTCTTGCTCTCATTTGGTCTGTAGTACAAACATGGAGTTGGTTTAGGCGTTCAGATAAACATGCCTTTGATTTAGTGGTAAGTTTTAACGACTGCAATAAAATAGAGTAGTCATGAAATGTAATTATGTTTGTATCTCATGAAAATGAAATTTACATTTCTATCTGCATTTTTATATTACTTTAATTTACAAAGCTTGTTAACAGATAGGGAAGTTTATATATTGATGTATTTTTCATTTGTTTTTATAGTCTCTTGGGAAGTTCATTATATTCATGAGTGGAAATCTCGCTACTGTTTTCTTTATTGTTATGTTTTGTGTGTCTCTAAAATGGTTTCTGTTTTTTAAAGTAAGTATGTTAATTCTGTAATTTAATTTTTAGTATACATGAATTAATGTAGTATTCTGCATTAAAAATGAAGCATTGGCAGTTGAAAACCTTAAAATATCTGCCCTTTTGTGTGATTCTCATTTTTGTAGTATAAAAAAAATCATCTAAAAAAAATCAGAGGTGACCTTTTTTCCTGTAATTTACTGTAAAATTGTTATTGTAAAAGTAATATTAAGCCATTTACTTAAAATTGACAATTATTTAAAATTTCTGACTAACTTTAAATTAATATATTAAAATCTACAGTGCTTTGAACATGGATTCAGTGCAGTACAAAGTCTGAGATTTGAGCTCGTCGGGACTTCGGCAATTCCGAATTAAGATTTTTCTAAATATTAAATCCTCAATTTAAATCTAGTTAGATGACATGTAGACATTGTAAAATTAAAAATATGAAATAGTGGTTTATGAAATAATAAAGCATTTATAACCTTAAGGGAATCAAAATTTACCCTCTCCCAAAAAACTGAATATTTATTTGTTTGCTTTATTAAATAATTCTTTCAATGTATGTTGTCTAAATTGCTTTGTTTTTTGTGCTAATACTTTCTTCTTAATTCCATAGAAAGACTTAATTTCTTGTTCAGTTATGAAATTTCATTCCTCTTTCCATTAAATCGGAACCACACTACAGATTTTGCCCTCCATTAGTTGACAGATGATTGGGGCATTGTAATCCCAATGAGAAACTTGTGTTATATCATCTTCATGTATTACCACTTCTCCACATATTTTCACAAATACCATTAATTGCAAAATTTTACTTTCTGTTTGCAATATTTAAAAACTTTCAAATTTGTGGCTGCGGTCATAAAGCTTAGATAGCATGCGCTATGCACTATTCATGTGTGTCATGGCATGGCATTGACATCTAAAAAAAATTGTTCCACTAAACTTTGTCTTGGTTGACTAAAGATAATTGTTCTACTAAATTTTATCTTGTCAGCATGTTTGTATTGCATGCTGACAAAGTTAAGCCTGAGTTATATTAGTTTAATTGTTTATTATACTATGTTTATTTCCAAATATGCTTTAGGCTTAACTGAGTCCTGAATAAATTAATTCCCTCATAAGGGTGGCCCTAAATATTTTGTGGCCAGCACAATTTCTGCATGACCTAAATTCTAAAAATTTTGCATCCCTCTACCTTCCCTAAATTCTAAAGATTTTGCCATCCCTTAATTCTGTTGCTCAGTTCTCTTTCAGTTTTAAAAATTTGCCTTTCCTAAAATCATCTGGCTGGTGCACCGCTGCACCAGCTCTGGCACCAGGTTTAGGCTTATCTGAAAAGTGACTCAGTTATTTTTAACTCATACAGCATTAAAAGTGTTGTAGTCTATGAGTATGATTTACAAAATCTGTTTCTTGCACATAGAAAGAAATTTTTATTAAAAATCTCATCAACATGTTCAACACTTCACAGTTAACTTATATAATAATTATATAACGGAAACTAAGTTAACTGTTATATAATCCAATAATTATATAACAGTTAACTTATGTATTTCGTTTATATTATAACCCATAATTCACAAAATTTATATCATTTAAAGAATAGAATTATCTAATAGTTGTCACATGTTCTATTCAAATACTATAATAAAGCTAGAATGATGTATAAAAGCAATTAAGCAAACAAAACAAAAAAGAAACAGTTTTTCACAGACGATTGAGTATTTCTCATTTAATTAATTCAATTCTCACTTTGCGAGAACGCAAAAATACATAAAAACTCAAAATATCTATATTAAAAATTACAAAGTAAATCTTAAACATTTATTTCCTCGAAAAAATTCCAGAAAGAATTAAGCATGATTTAATTGGCAATAATAAATGAATGCATAATCTTTGTTCTTGTGAAGCTAAGTCTCTCTAGATTAGCAACAAATCCACTAGTCTACTGTTTCAAATGTAAACATCAATGGCCGCCATAAAAAAAGGCCTAGCCCCACTTAGACAACTTTAAAATTGTTGATAATTCTAAAAATATTGCATACAGATTTACTAAAGGCATAAAAACCTTAACCGGAAGATAAAAACAACATAATACAATCATTTTTAAAGCGAAAAATGTACAATTTACAAACATATAAGAGTAAAGAAATGAGATCACTTAGCCGGGTAACAGAGTGGATATATTTATAAGTATATTTATATACATTTGGTGTGGGCGATTGCAACCAAAATACGAGGTGCACATCTACATGTTGTAGTAGTCTTATATACAAAATTTCAAAGTTCTGAGGCTGCTCGTTTTTGAGTTATGCGAGATACATACGTGCGTACAGACACCATGAAAAATTCTCTTCGAAATTCATTATAAAGCAGTTTTATAATTTTTTTGAAGAAAAAGAGTCTTTTATTCTGTCCTTACGTACAGATGACACGCAAAAACATCGTTAAATTGCATTCGATAGCGGTCAAAATGGATATTTTCGTTGAAATATGTTGGCTGAAACGTTTCGCGATTACAATACTTCGTTTTTACTTCGTACAAGGAAGTAAAAAGAAAAAGTTGTTTAGGTGTCATTATGCAGGTCACTGCTCCTGCTGTGCATTGATAGTCATGATGATAAATATTAAAAGAAAGATTCACCTGGTTGGCTTAAAGGATATAAATTATTTAATAGTAAAATATTTCGGTTTGAGATGTATGCCAAGCAAAATGGCGGCTATGGAGCCGAATTATTCATCATACCATGCATGTTTGTCCTAATAAATGATGGTTTCTTTCATAAGGAGGTATTTTATTTACTGCCAAAATGAAATTAAGAATCAGAACACTGCACATGTTTTAATTATGGAAAAATATCAAGTGCTAGAAGCACAGAAAAAATTTCTAGGGAGAAAAAAGAGGTTATTGTGATCTGGGGGTCCGAATTTTAGATTGTTTTAAATATTGGATATCTGGATTTTTGATTTTATGTTGTATTTGCTTTTATATGTGCACTTTTTAATGTATACGCATGCAATTTAATAATTATTCTTATTTGTAAGGGAGAAATGTTCCCTCAAATATTAAGTGTTAGGATTATATAAAATGCATTTGTAGCATTTTATGACATATTTAACTGTTCATTGTAAAAGTATAATACATTTTTTAAATGATCTGGTATGTAACTGCTGTGAAAAATTCTGAATTAGTTTCCTGAAGATTAATTATTTTAAGAAAATATTTATGATGTATTAAATTGTGTATTCATTCCTAGTTTTACTAATTTAGGAAAAATTGAGAGAGAAATGTGTCTTGAGAAAAAAACTAATTTAAAGGAGAGAAGCTGTTAAAAGAACATGGCGGTTCAATATTTTAAAGAAGTCAATTATAGAATTATTACTTCCAATGATTTTTCTATCTATTTACACATTTTACTTTTCATACTTCTACAAAGAGTATTTTGTTATATCATGTGTAGAAAAAATAAGAAAAGATACACGAGAGCAGAGTTGCCAGATATCACACTGAAGTGGAGACACTTGATTTTTCATGAAGTCTCCCATTCTCTTGATAAATCTCCAAATGTTCAGATTTTTTTAATATTTACCTGAATTAGATAATTTTTTTTTTTTTTTTTTTTTCCAAATAGTTCTGGTAGAACATTTTAACACTAAATTCTAAGGGAAAAGGGGAAAAAATTAATAAAAAAATTCTAAACCAACAGCTCTCTCTTTCTTTCTTTTTTTTTTTTAATGGAACTTAAATTGTTCAAATTTTTTTTCAAGTGATTTCTAGCATAATTTTCTGATTAATTTTTAATTGATCTAAGCTGGTAAATTCATGCTAGAGATTTGTAGAACATTGCATAATGGCTTAACTAATATTTAGTAGTAATAGTAACAAATATTAAGTGTTTAATTTTGCTTTAAATGCATAAGTGATTTATTTTTAAATTTACGTAGGCAGTTGTTAACATATTGGTTTCTAAATTTGTGATAAACATAGATTTCATAAATAAGACTTTTTCTTGAGTTTTGACCATTATAAAATTTTAAGAAAGTTAGAAAATTAAATGCAATCAATCTTGGATCATAACTTAAAGTTAAAATAATGAATTGAATATTAAACTAATGTATTTTACATCGAAATCATGGTTTTAATTTGATACTCTGAATTAGGCATTATAAAATGATTTTTAAGTAAAATTTATCAATAGACATCTTTGAATTTGCGATTGCTGTGTAGCACAAATATCCTCTTGTTTTTTATATTTCAATGCTGGCAGCTCTGAGGAGAATATGCCAATAAAAAATGGTATTTTTTAATCATACAGTCAGAAACTAATTTAATTTTATTAAAAACTGGTTAGAATGAATTACATTTCAAGTTTAAAAAAGGTATGTTTCTGGGTGGGGTAATTTTGATCAGTATCCAAGTATTTTGTGAATTAATTCCTGTATAAAAAATGCACTCATCTATAAATGCATAATGTGTTCAGAGTAGGAAGCAGAATATTATGCATATAGGCAAAATAATACAATATCATCTAAATCTTTATTCAATAAATATGTATCTTTTTTTTTTTTTTTTTTTTTTTTTTTTAATTTTATTTTGTGTGGTCAGATTTCTTATTTACTATCATTGGTATAAATTGGTGAAATAAAAATAGAATTCTTTAAAATGAGAAGTTTTACTTAATATTATTTTAAGTATTATCATATTTTATTCAGTTACATATCAGGTTATCAAATATTTTTTCCATATAACCTTTAATATTTGACGTTTTTATGAAATAACCTTTAATATTTGACGTTTTTATGAAATAATCTGAAAGAAGCATTTTTTAGTGTATCTAATAGTACATATTACTTATCTTTTAGAGACAGTCTGTGTTGCATACTCTTTTGCCCAATGTAGAACAAGAAAAATTTCTGGGTATTTATTTAGGAATAGCCTTGGCAATGAAAGTAATTTTTATTTGATTATTAAATTTGATGTTGCTATTACTTTATTTTATTAAATATATTCCAAAAGTGCTCATTGGATTAAAGTACTATGATGTATGTTTAAATAACTAGTAAATTTTCTTTTCTAATATTTGCATATAAGAATGTGATTTTTGTAGTTTTAATGGTAGAGCATAATTATATACTTTCTGATTATCTGCACTCCCATGGAAAAGTCATGAACTCGCCGTCTTTGGAGAATATCCATGAATTCATTAGCGACTAATTTATCACCAAGGCTAATGCTAGAAAGGCAACAGCAATCTTCAAAATGATGGTGCACTGAAAATTCTATACAACAGCAGTTAATCGATAAAGTTAAAAATCCAAGAGATGTCAGTAATAAAATATTTGTGTTTTTAAAGAAATACTTTTTTGTGCTATTGTGCTCCCCATGTCTGCAGTGATCTATTTTCGCGTTAGCAGTCTCAGCGTTATGGACAGAAAATTTATTATAGAATGGTAGCTTTTATATTCATTACACATGAAAAATTCTGCCAGCTTTTAATGTATCCGATTTGGGGTTGATTGTGTATTGGAAGAAAAGGAAGCAAGGTACAAAGTGAGAGAATTATTTTTAAATTATAATCAAGAAAATACTTTTTGTTCACGATATTTTGAGGAACTTTGAAATTTCGGAGCTAAATCTGTAACGCTCATAGGGTTAGAAAAGCATGAGAGTTGCACAAATTCAGCATTCAGGTGATTTGGCATTGTGCACTAGATGAGACAGATGTGTTTCTCATGTACTTGGGTTCTTGCATTAATACTTTTTGTCAACTTCATGGGTTGCCACATTAACTATTGCCCAATGTAGAACTATTGTCCAATGAACATTAACTATTGTCCAATGTAGAATGACAGCGTACTGCTTTTTTTGCCATTTTTCTGCTTTGTTGCAGGTAATCAGAAAGTACTCATGATATTAATATGAACAATAAAAAAAATGCTGTTTTGACTGATTGCATTTGATAAATTTTTCGTATTTGTCTCACACACACACTACAATCAAATTTCTGAAGATTTCATTCATTTCTAAAAGTAAAAATTATTTAATTTCAGTTTTATATGTAGAATGGAAATGCTTCCTACCTCTTTAATAAACTTTAAAATTAATATATTCCTATTCCTTTGCCACATAATTCATGAAGAATATTAAAAGCAGTGTACCTTTTTCTTCGTTATTTTTGTTATATGTTGAAAATGAAATTTTTATCTTTTGATTTAAATAAGTTGTAAATTAAATATATGTTTGCACTGGAATTGTAATATTTCTATGCATAGGAGGATATTATGTTTATAACATTATTAATGTGTATAGAGAGAATTTTGTATATATATTAGGATAGCTAATTATTTATTGCATTTTACTGACTACTAGCAGTGAAAACATTATTATATTTTTTATAAGAAAACAAATATTCACAATAGCTTTCACCAGATATTTTATGATTATTCTTTCTAAAAACTAATATATTATTGAACTTTCAGGCTTGTAGTGATAGGCTGTAGACATCATTCTCTTATAATCATTTTCATGTGAACAAAATGACTTAGTTCAAACCATACATTCTAGAAAATTAAATTTCCAAATGAACAACATTTTCTGCTTAATTGTGTAATGCAATTTGATAAAAATGTTAATTTTTACAGTTGCAGTAAGCAAATATATATTTTTAAAATTTATCGTCAAAAGAAATATGTATAGCAGTTATTGCTTTTAATATTTTACACATTTAGTACTTGAATAAATTTACATAAAAACTGAAGCTAGATAGAAAAATTTTGTATGAAAATTGGGACGTTTTCTCCAGTACTGAAATGTTGCACATGTTTTACCAAAGTATTCATTAAAAAGTTTTGCTGTGAGATTAAACTTTTCTTTTTATTTGTTATGCAAAAGTATTCTCATACTCATGTTTTCAATTATCACTTTTAAAGATTTTTATTTTATTTTAGTAGAATAGTTACTTAATATGAGAACTTGTGTATAATTTAAACTATTAAATTTTATAGCAATTTTAATTAAACAATTATTTTTGTAATATGTTTTAATGAAATTTCTTTTTAAGTTCCTTTAATTTTATAATTTTTGTATTTTGGTAAATTTATAACAAAAGCACATAGTTTAATAAAATTGGGCAAGTTTTAAATACCTTAAAATTATACAGATTTGTTTAAATTAAGCTCTTCAAAATAGTTAGTTACTTCACAGTTAGTTGTCAATGAGGATTAGTGACAGTGTGCCCATATTCACATGAAGCTCTTTTATAACTTTTTATTTGTTTTACAAATTAATAATTTTACATCATGAATGTTTCACAAATGACATTTTCCAAAACCAACAATTAAAATAAGCATTACTTTATAAAAAGTTGTCACAAAAAGTATAAGCAGTACCAACCAGTGTTATATAAATTCTAATCATCCAATAATCTCTCAATCTGTCCTAACTGAGTCTAAAAAATTATTCTTACTGAAATTCCTGCTGTAATTGACCAAGTGTGAAACTTAGACAAAATTCCAATAATCTTATGATTCATAGAATTAATTCTACACAGTAATTTAATATACTTAAATATAAATAATAAAAATATAAAATAATAAAAGCAATTTTAATAAATAATTAATTGTTGATAAACTTTCAGTTTAATTAGTAGTAAAAAAAAATAATTGTATTTACTTTTACACTGCAGAAGAGGACTGCTCATCCTACGACTAAAAAATTTGCCTCCCAGCATTATTGTCCTCCTTGTAGAAGGGATCTAATGCTGCTGCACCCCCTCCGCTGGAAAACCGGTAGAACAGACTGCTACAAACATATGAAGAATAAGAAGTTCACAAGGCTATTTACAGCAGTGCATAAGTCTTTGCAGGCTACACAGTCTTGTGCTTATCACCGACTAAGTGAGATCACTGATGGTCCTGTGTTTTAGATAGAGATTAAATTTAGAACTTAACAAGCACAGTTACAATATTACAATCTAAGAAAAATGAGGCTGCATTATAGATATATGACTTAACATTTAGAATACTTATTTTAAAGTATACCACTTTCAGGCTAACTTCACAGAGCGCTATTAAACAATGCATTGAAGGTGCTATTAAAATTACTTGCTCTGTTGAATGAAGCAATTATGATATTAGAATTGAACAAAGTAATAATCATAATACAATTGAAGCAAAGATTGAATTCTGATGTTACAATAAGCAGCAAAACGAAACAAGGATTATGCATAGATGCACTGTGTATATACAGGCAGTTACAATTGAACCACACACAAAATGATTGCAAGAACTATTGTATTTACTATCGCAAGAAGCTTTTTTTTTTTTTTTTTTCTTTATAATGGGATAGTTGTTTATTTTTTATTATATAATTAGTATACTGGTATAAAACATGAAATTCAATTTAATTTTGAAAAAATTTAAACATTTGTAAAATATTTTTAAAAATGCTATCTTCAGAGGATACATTTTAATCTTTTGTTCTTCTTAGGCAATACAACTTATCCATCTATTGGCTGTCCAGTGTAGCATAAATATATTTTTTATTGATTGGGAACGTCCAAGAGTTCGAGCTTCAACAACTAGTTCTCGTAATGTTACCAGCTCAAAAAATGTAGCTGAAACGTCTGCCGGAAGTGATACTAAGAAAAGCAATTCAAGTGCTTTGAAAGGAACCCCTGACAAAATCAATGCAGAAATGGCTGGTGTCAGCATTTGGCGTACTTACTTTGTTGCTAATGAATGGGCTGAAATTCAAAGTCAAAGAAAGATTAATCTTAGTATTCAACTCTTTGGTGTGCTGTTTTTCTTAAAAGTAAGTGACAGTAATACATTTTACTAACTTTTAATATGTTGATGTACTGCGCAAGGCACCTTTTTTTTAAATCTATTTCCAATACATTTTTCTCAACATTGTATAGGTGGATTTTACATTTGCAGTACATATATCTTTTGAAAATTGATTCCGGTAGCCATTGAAAATCCAAGGTAGGCTATTTTTATCCAAAGCGATGTGTTTTACAAATATCTCTGTCAAAGGAATGGTGTATAAAGTAGATATGGTAAGAAATTGATATCAGGATCAGGTAACTTGTTTTTTAGAGTATTGTAGGATATTTTATGTGATTTGGTATAGTAATGTGGAATGTATCGCAGGATGATTCTTCTGCTAGGAGCATCTCAACTATAAAATTGCTATCTGCTGGTCAGTATTGAATATGCATTTTGTAGGTGCATAAATTTGGCATTTATAAGTGATATTAATGTGTATAAAAGTGCTAAACTTTAATCCTTCAATACAAATTTCAAGCAATTGAAAGTAAGTGAGCTTTTTAGTCAGTTTACAGGATTGTTGAATTTAACAATGTGAAAGTGTGCTGCTCTGTTCTAAAGTAGCTAATTTTATTGGCTATGATATTGTTACATAAAATGAAAAACAAAATTGGATCTGATAATTTTTTAAAATGTGAATGATTACAGCAAAAATAAATCAAGTTTGTACTTTGTGTTAAAAAAAAAATTTTAAAAAAAAAAAAAAAATCATAATTTCCAGTCCCATTTAAGTTAAATAGTATTTCTTCCAAAATTATGGAGCCTAATAAATTTATCCAGTTTCTATTGCATTTTCAATTTTCTCAAGAACAAATATATTGAAATTGTTTATCCTGTTATATACATTATCTTGGTTTTTCTTCTTCGCTCTCAATGTGTCTATTTTACTACATGACTGTTTACAAAAAAATTTGCTGATGCAATGCCATTAGATATTTGTGCTACCTGTATACGATTAAATAACATTTCTGAGTTCCATATATCTACTGTAAATCTTGTTCTTCCTTGCACTTCCAAGAATATATTGTAATGAAATGTATAGGCGCGGTAGGATGGCTTCTCCTCAAAGCAGTTTTAGGGTTTTATTTGATTTATCCCCTTAGACAGCAAATATTTTCATTGCACTGAGTAAAAGTTTGAATGATATTTCTTGAGAGTCTAGTCAAGTAATGTAGAACTGATAGTCAGCTAGAATTTTGAGTCATGCAGAAAATGTGTGCTCTTTTTCTGCTAAGAAATAAATATATCAAACCTTATTTTATTAAGTGGATAAATTCAAAGTCTGTAAACATGTATTATGGTTTGAAAGTATTCTTTGTTGCGGACTCCTATCAAATTAAATTGTCAACTGTTTTACAGATCCATTAAATGAAATGAAGCTGAAATCTCAAATGTACTGCAAAAATTTTTAATTTATATATTGGTGACTATTCTAAAGTATAGTGAAAGAAAAATGTGATTTCTCATGAGCAAAAAAATATGTACCTACAAAATTATATCGTAATAAATATAAATAGTGATCTTATTGCTGAGAGGCTACAATCACTGGTGAGAGAATCACCCTGTGTGAAAACTAGAGGAATTTCCCTTCCTTGTTTGCTTTTTCCATCCTGCATGTTTCTATAGGTAACCCCTGCTTAAAGTACTTAGTTAATATATATTTACTAAGCATTTTTTGGCTCTTTTTTTTTTCTTAAATTAAATAAAATTAAACCTTAAAAATTGCTTTGGTCTATGCATATTTGTAGAACTTAATTATCAATGGATTTGCCATAATGCATTTTGCACATATTATATATACACACACAAGCAAAACATAATGGTTTATGCATTAATGTCACCATTAATTAGTGACAATGCAATAAAATTTACATTTTTGAAAAAAGAGATTTTAAAGAGCTACAAGCTTATTAGTAGTTTGCAGCATTTTTATCTGTTTTGTTGATTACTGTGTGAAGCTGATTTACTAAGAAAATAAGTTTAGCATTCAGAATCAGTTTTGTTTCTTATTGTATTGTTCTTAGTTAATGAATTAAAAATTAATTGCAATATTTTATTATATTTATATATATATATATTTAACCTTTTTTAAATGACGAAAAAGACTGACAAAATAGGAAAATTTTTCATAGAGAAACAAAAGAAGCATGGATTTGTGTATTGCTGTGCTATTATTATCTCTTTAATAATGAGCTAAATCTGAGCCTTATCCCAATTCAAGTGATACTGGTTTTGCAAAAAAAATTAAATTAAATCAGTTAAAAAAGTTGAAAGTAGAATAAGAGATAGTGCTATAAATTCTTCTTAATGCAAGAATGAAAGTTACCAATTTAATCCTAAAAATGCAGGATCACTTTTATTGAAAACTCACAGCTTTAAGCTTTAGTTTTATAAGTATGCAAGAGAATTGCTTAATTGTTCACTGAGAAAATCTGAAACAGAATAGTGACTGTGTGGCACTTGCTAGGTTAAACTCACAGCTGAGTTGTGGTGTTTTCCACCTTTTTGTTCATAGTCAAAAGAAGGAAGATGGTATCAGTGTCAGTTTGGCAAGATTTCCAAATGCCACTGACTCCATATTCCAGAAACAAACTCCATATTCCAGAAAACTTCAGTAGTACAATTATCATTCTTTGATTTTCTTGAAACTGTATTCATAGTAATGATGTCGATTTGTGTAGGTTTACAAATGCTATTTAAGGAATTAAAAACATTGAAATATGAATACCTACTAGCTTTAGAGTAACATAAAAATGCATGAGAAATGAACATAGGTAGAATTACAATAAAATAATGTTAAATAAATAGATAATATGCATCAAATACAAATCAAGACATTATCTATGTAAATCACATCATTTATATTATTTGGAAGCTATAAATTTATACAGGGTGATTAAAAAAATGTTTACAAAATGGCATGGCAAATCAGGCGTATAACAGGAATCAAAAATCACATAGGAATATAGGATTGCAAATGCCACTTGTGTCAGGAGAGGGCATTGCTATACAATCATCATGAGCTGAGCAAACATAAATTGTCTTCATTTAGCCATGGATGTGTTGGTTACACATACCATGAAATGGCTGACATGCATTTGATGTATGGTGTAGCTAACAGCATTTGACAAGAAGCCATGCGAATGTGTGGCTCATAGAAAGGGGCCTTGCCACTCTGCATCAGTGACTGTGCGAAAGCCGCTCGTTCGACGTACACAAGCCAAATGCTGGTCACCAATGAATAACTCAGACAATTTGTTTCAGATGAAAGTGTTCTCCAAGGACTGGAGTGTAATCCTTCAATAAGTACACAAGTTGTATCTCTGTATTTCAAGACACCCATACCCCCAAACGTCTGGCACATTTTACAGTACAAAGGACTGCATACTTTTCATTTACAGCACATCCAGGCATTTAAACCAGAAGACTACAACAAGCACGTGGAATTTGCTTAGTGGTTTTTGCAGGAAAATGCTGCATACCAAAATTTCACAGCAGGTGTTCTCTTTACTGATGAGGGTACATTCTTACTAGAGTGTGTGATGAATGTTCACAACTTTACTCGGGCAAATGAAAACCCTCGTGCTACATATATGTATGCCTCAAACATAAATTTACCCTCAGTGTGTGGGCTGACATTGTAGGAGACTGTTTACTTGGTCCATACATTCTCCCAGAAAGAGTTGATGGTTGCATTTATCTTGCATTCTTGCAAAAGGTTCTGCCAGACATGCTGAATGATGTTTCTATGCCTATTCATCGATGCATTCAATTTCAGCAGACAAGTCGGAACACATCTGTATAGGCTACTTTTCTTGGGTGCTGGATTTGAAGTGGTGGACCAATCGCATGGCCATCACAATCACCAGAACTGTCTCCAGCTGATTTTTTCTTCTGGGATTTTTTAAAAGGACTTGTTATGAAACACTTGTTTCATTGCTGGGAGACTTGGTACGAAGAACTGTTGTGGCAGTAGGATGTCTTCAAGATGCACCAAGTATCTTTGAGAAAGTGCACAGCATTAATATCAGGCATGTCTAGGTACATCTGAAAAAAACTTTGAGTATGTTCTGTAGTTGTCGTACATTTGTAGTATATGACTAATATAAATAAATGGTTTAGAATGGGTTTTTTTCTTGTTTTTGTAATACATATTATTTTAAATGCCCTCTAGTGGCTCCGGATGGCATTTGCAACCCTATGTTCCTATGTGATTTTTTGTCCTTGTTGTATGCATGTCATTTTGTAACTTTTTTTTTAAATCATTGATACAAATTTTGAAAGTATGCAATGACATGTTACATTGATTTTATGTGCTTTTTTAAATTTTTTAGAAAATAATCTATCTGTGTTCCCAATTCCCCCCCCCTTTGTTTGTTTTGTTTGCATATTTAATTTTTAGCTCTAGCATTTATCACAGTCTTTTAAAAATAATTCATATCAATAAAATGCTTACTTTTTACTAGCTCTGCCTTGCTTATCTGATAAGTTGAGCTTATTTTTTTAAGCACTTTGACTGTTGCTGATTCTATCTAAAAGATATGTTGTTTTTATCAGTTTTAACTAATTAGCTGACTAATTGATAGCTTGAGGGCTTTATAAATACTGAGACAAGGTTGCTTATATTTTTATTGTTACTATTAGTCTTGGATATATATTTTAACCAGATGGTATAATATTAGCCTGATTTCAATTTATATAATTATTGTTATAATATAATTATTAAAACTATAATTATTGAAGCAATCATAGTATGTTTGCTAAATCACCAAGAATTTTAATAGTATGAAAATTAATAGTTCATGCATTGATAGTTTGATTAAATTTTAGATGAACTTTAAACAAATATCCATTAATTTTTCCTGCAATTTAAATTATTTAAATTATATTATAAATTATGTAAATTAATTACACTTTAGAGAGTTAAAAATAAAAATTTAACTTGCTTATTAGGTTGTATAGTTATTTAATAGTAGAAAATAATGTAAAAGAAAGAAAGGAGACAATTTTCTGATGCTGTTTAACTGTCTGATACAACCGCTAACATGGATTATTATGATATCCAGATATGCAGTGTATGTAATTTAAAATATAAATAGAGTACCTAATACTAATTCAGAAGTCAAACATATTAAGAGTACCTAATAGTTTGTGTTATTTCATTATTGAGTGCATCATTGGTGGGGGTTACCTGTACAAATTACAGTGTATAGGGAGCTATGTTATGATTGTGTTTCTTAGATATGACCCATGTTTTGTAAAAAATGCATTAAATCATAGTAGTATTTAATGGTATTTGGCAGCTGTAAAATAATAAATTTTAAATATTTTTTAAACATTTGCCTGATTAGCATAGAAAAAGTGTTGAAATATACTTAATAAATTTCTATGAATTGAAAAATTTATTATATCTAAGAAATATTGTGCTTGTAATTATAATAGATCTTAGCAATGACCTAGCTAATAAAATAATTTATCTCTTCAAGAGTATATCATGCCAGCTATTGTGTGTATTCATTATATTGTAATTAAATGCCATTACAAAAGGTGGTGCACCTTTTTTATATAATAAGTTAATTGTCAGTAAAAATTCCGATCTGTACAAATTATGATACATACTTTTGCATTCAAAAAATTGCCAAATTTTCTTTAATGCTAGGTTTAATATGCTTATGTTTCCATTATATTAATCTCAAAGCATGCAAGTTTGATTTTGTAGATTGTAATTGTCATTTTTTATACAAAGCTTTAAATGTAATAATCTTTTAATTAGAAAATATCTTTTGAATCTTCCTTGATACTAAGAAATGGCTGAAGAAATAATTTGTTTAATTACAACCTAAATTTTGTTTCATCCTTTCTTTCAAACTTGGAATAAATAGTACACATTTCAGCTAACATAAAAGTATTACTGTCATCATGTTTCATTTTTTGTCATGTATATAATTAAATTGAATTATGCTAGTTCATAGAATGTCACTTCTGTACTAGTATCCTCTCATATTTATTGATACAATTTTATTTTCATTGATGCACATATTTATCATGTGTTCAGAATTTAATTAAAACTGCGTACAGCTTTGCTGTAGAGTAGCTAAATTTCTACTTGAAATATGGATTTGCAAGAAAAAAATGTTAAAGTATCATCATCTTCCTACTTAAGTCATGTCTCTTTTTCTAAAGCATATCAGACTGTGACATCTATGTTATGTTACTGGCAAACGGAAACTTTTTCTAAAATGTCAAAACAAACGAAAATATTAATTACCACATTAAAAGTACCGAGACATAAATTGAACACTAAGATTCACATTTTGTAATTAAACCATAGTTTCCCTTCAATTTTTCTTTAATTAAATTATCTTTTTAATTCTTTGTAAAACTATGTATGCTACAAAAGAAACCGTCATGATGCAAAATATGTAAGAAAACAGACAAAAAATTTTCGTTAAATTTAAAATTGTATTGCAGGGCAATAGTATTAAAGTTTCTTTCTGTAATTTTTTGCCTAGTTTTAAAGCGTTGTCTTTTTACAGCTTTCATTCAAGGTTAAAAAAGAGGAGGGGAGGAATGTAGAGTTTTTAGTTAAAAGTTTTGTAATAATAACCCCCCTTTTTTTGGTAGAAAATTTTATTTAATTGAAAGTATGTAAATAAAATATGCTGTAGCTTTAAGAGAAGATTAATGTTATTGATCTTTATATAATTCCAAAAGGTGTATATATATGCTTTGCTCATACATATTTAATATATTCTGAAACTCCATCTAAAATACAAGTACTTTTAATTTTTATGTATTTTGATGATAAAAGTTATTTACTGCTATTTAATTATGTATATATATATATATATATATATGTGTGTGTGTGTGTGTGTGTGTGTGTGTGTGTGTGTGTGATATTTAAAATTAACCTTAATGTCTTACTTTAATTTTAGGTGCTAGAGTTTGAAAACTATGCTTTAGCTGGGCAGAGTTTTTCTGAACCTTCCTCTGATTTAACCAAGTATGTGCCTTACAGTACTTGCTGCAGGTTTGCTCTTGGTGCAACAGTATATTTATCTTTTGCTATCTTACAGGTGAGAAGTAACAGTTTTTTGTATCATTAATTCAAAGCTCATTAAAGTGTTGGATTCATGTGTACTTGAGAAAAACCATTGTGTAATACTTAGCTTCTCTCTCTTCTATTTGTTTATATATCTTGCAAAGCATTAAAAAACTTTTTACTTTTTCATCTCATTTAACTAGGTTTTAATTGTGTGAAATTTCATTGTTCTTACTTGCATCAAATGTAGTTTCGCCCTTTTTTATTATTTTGTTTGTTTGTTTGTTTATATATCTTGAGTTTTTCTCTCATATACTTTAAAAAAGATCCTTGTTGCAGCACATGAAACTTGACCCTAATTGATTTAAAGCTGCTAAAGACATTGAGTTTTTGAAATTTGCATAGAATATTCAATAAAATTAAACAGCTTAATTTGTATGGCAGAAGTTTCTGCTTGATAATGGTCCTCTCTTAATAGTCAGACTTACAAACATAAAATTCGATAGTGAAAATTAATGTTATTAAATTCCCAGCTATTTTTTGGATAAATTAGAAAGAAAAGTAAAGTATAAATGATAATAGTAAGTGTGCACTATATTTGTATTATTCATAAATGAATTGTAGATTTATTCCGAAAATGTTTTCTAAAATTAAATATCACAAAATATATGATATTATGTTAGATGTAAAAAAAAGTGTGCTAAATGAACCTCAACATTAGGCAGAATTCAGCTTAATTGACATCAGCATTAGAAAAATATTTTTCCCCCCAAATTTGCATAAAAATTCTCTAAAATATATAGAATATCTGTCTAAGATGCCAGTTTAAAATTATTTTACTTAATTTTTATACAGTTGTCCTGCCAGATTCTTTCTGAGATGATAAATAATTTCTTAGGGAAATTGGTTTAAATAATTAATTAATTAATTTTCTCACAGTATGTTAGAATCATTCTTCTTAACTAATATTCCACATTACTTGATGAATAGTCAGTGTTTGAAAAATAGTTTTATGATGAGTAATGTGCATATTTCCACTAACAAGCACATTATTCATCATGTCATAACAATTTTATTGGCTTATCATTTACGTTTTCATGTTTTTCAAGCATTTCTTGCTGTAAAAGTGTAATCAGAATTGCATTGTGACTATGGTAGTACTTGGTGGGAAGCTAAATAAGTAGTTATTTTATTTGTAATGACTGATGCAAGAAAAATACTATGTAATTCCAATAGATTATTTTTAATGATTTTCATTCAGTAATTAAACTTTTGAATGTAAGAACTAAACAGTATTCTTGAATCAGAAGTTAAGTAATTGAATGAAAATTATATGAAATTAGCTATTAGAGCTAGTATTAGGAAGAATACTATATAATACAAATAAATCTTTTATAAAAGTGAAATAAAAGAGGGAGTGTTCACAAATTGCCTGTTAATTTAAATAAATAAAAAAAAAAAAACTAGAATGCATATGTTGCTCATTTAAAATATAAAGGAGAAGAGTTATACTTTGTTGGAAATTTTTAAGAAAGCAATAAATAATTAAAATATTGAACAGATTAAGAGTCATAAATATTATGAAATACTGTATCAAGAGGAAAATTGTAATCAATAATTATTGCACTAAAAATCCGTTTTGCTAGGTGAGGTTACTCGTCACTTGAGAGTTTTTGTGTGATTGCATAATGTAGGCTCTTGTAATGCGCTCTTGTGTAATACTGGGCAGCACTTTATATTCTTACTGGACTATGCAAGCAAAGTAAAATTTCAAATACAAAATTAATCAAAATATATTATTTTCCTATCTTTTCTACCTGCATAACATCCTTAATAACCTTTTTGATGCTTCTGCTTTTTGGGAGAGTGTGGATGTCTAATGGCAGAGTATGCCAATTAGGCTGAAAGTATGCATGTCGAGATTTTACTGGATCCTGACAGTAGCATTTTGACTTATTAAATTAAATGTCAGTGTAACAGGGAATTTTGCTAGTCCTAAAGGAAGGCATTTAATTTTTGATTTTTTAATAGATGAAAAGGTAAAAGTTACTTATCGGGTATAAGTTGGGTGACTTTCTTTCATGCTTTTTCTTTTTTTAAAAAAAAGATTCCCAATCTACCAATATTTATCATAAACACGTAAATTTTATCAACATAAAAAAAAAGAAAACATGCTTTATCAATTAAAATTATTAAATAAGGATCACATGATGCATTAAGAAATAAAACAATTATATTCTTCAGATCTTTCTGTAATTTTTGGTGCTATTCTTCTGAAGTACACAGTGATCTGTTTTTACTTAAAAAAACATTTGAAAATTGCAGAGACTTAGCTTCGCACAATCTTCGGCATGGCTATCTGGGAAACATGTTTCCTTGTTGTTCCCTCTAGAAAATTTTCAACAAAATTCTCTATTATTGCAGTTTCTTCCATTTCTGTCAAATCCCACAAACTTCAAAACTTAAGTTTAAGGCCAAAAATATATCTTATTTTGTTTATTAAAACCATTTCAACTTAGAATATAACAAGAACTTCATTTATATGCAAGCTTCTTAAAAAAATACTCGACTTTATTTTTTCCATTAGAAAACACTGAAACATGGGAAGTAGCTTCCAGTAGTTGGATGTTGGGGTATTTGGGTGCATGCTTGAATATTCTCACTTTGTGGTCTATGTGACCTGTGTGTTATTCTGTTTAATTCACACTTTTTGAGTGCAGCATTTGCTCATACTCATAGTTAGACTGTGAATGAGACACAAGAGTAAACACTAGTCAGATTTTTTTTCATTTGCCATAAAAGTATGACAATGATATTACATCAGATTTTGCCAAAAGCTCAGTTATATCCCAAGAGAAATCATTTATTAGATTCTGCATTCCTTTAGTCATGGTACTATTAGTGTAATTCAAATTAACCCTCTGAACAGTATAACAGTTTTTATGTACTAATTCAGAAGTCAAACAACAAAAATCAGCGTTATATTTTCAAATTTTCACAGGACTAGTTTCGATGGTTTTACCGAACCACCATCCTCAGCTGCAAAAGAGCAAATGAAAATGCATTTTCATTTGTGCTTTTGCAGATACTTCATTTGCTCCTTTCAACTCCCTTCATAGGAGGCCATGGTGGCCACCTATTAGATGCTTCCATCACTTCTGGCCCTTGTAGTGATGCAAGGCTAATGGCTATTAAATAAAGGACCTGGCCATAATAACAATCCTGACTTCTGAGCCTTATGATGACATGTATGAGTTATAGGTGCAGTTATTACAGGGAAAACATTCGTGATTCCTGAAACCAGAAAAGGGCACAACAGGAATGCAGCAAAATCATATTCATCATGTTCCTTGTTTCCCATGGGTTTTTCGTCATAAATAAATACCACAAGGTTGAAATATCACTAAAGAGTTTAAATGTAGGTGCTCTGTTGCAGTTATAGTACCATGTAGCACAAATAATAAGACCTGAGAGCTGGAAAAGCTTGGCAACTATATCACAATATACCTACCTGCCCATTTTTCATGCATTATTCAAACTTCTCAGCTAAACATTCCTTTGGTTTGTTAGATTTCCTTCTCGTTTAGCTTGGCTCTTTATGGTTTTTGTTTCCAAAGTTTAAAAGAAGTACAGCGTACATGGGAAATAGGACATTAGGAAAACACGCCGGCATTCCTCAGATCTTCTGTTATAGCTACTTCAGGATAAAGTAGATTAACTTTATTAAAAGTGGTGCTCTGAACAGTCGTTTGTTTTCAAATCTTTGTAAAGACAACTTTGTAAAGACTTTGTTTTCAAATCTTTGTAAAGACTTTGTAAAGGCAGGGTCATGAATATGAAAGCTTATTATCACATATAAAAATAAGGTAAATTTCAAGAAGCTGCAGTTTAAAAGGTTTATTCAAATTAAAAAATTAAGTTCTTCTCTTTCTAACTGAACAAAAATCTAATTTTGCAAATTTATTCCATAATAAATTGTGGTTACAAAAACTATGTTATTTAAGTGACACATTTGAAAAATTAAATGAACTAAATTTGTTGCTTCAAGGAAAAAGTTGCAACATAATCATATTCAAATGAAAAATTTATTCTTTTATTAATAATTTAAGTGAAAATGATGAAACAGGTGATCAAAAAGATGAGTTGTAAATGAACATCTTTGGTATCGTATGAAAAACTTTTGGGAAATAATTCCCTTCAAATTTTAGTGAAGAATTAATATGGATTGTGAAACCATTTGGAATAAATGTGGAAAAATCACTCATTTGCCTCATCTATCACATATATTCCAGGCTAACAGTTTAAGTCACAAGAAGAACTTGCTAAGTTATCAAATGATTCAGGGTTGAAAATTGATTTTAATGCTAAATTCACAGAACAGTTATGGCTAGAAGTTGCAAAAGAAATTCCAAAGATTTCTGAAACTGCCATAAACTTTCTTTTACCTTTTTCTATGACATATTTGTATGAGACAACATTTTCGTCTTGAACCACTCTAAAATCAAAGTGTTGATCAAATGTAAAGAATATTAAAGAAGTGCTTCATCCTGCATTGTCAACTATTTTGCCAAGGTTTGATAATATAATTAAAAATAAACAGACACACTCTTCCCATTGATACTTAATCATAGCATATGTACTGTTAAAAGTAAGTGGTTTTTCTCATTAGTGGCCTTACAAGTGGCTACACTTATTGGATAGACTATAGTTAATTTTTGAATTTACCCAAGAAATTGAATTTGTTTTTATTACTGTATCATATTTTTACTTATTTAAACATATTATTACTTATTTATATTTACATATTTTTACTTATTTTATTACTGTACTTATTTAAAATTTTCACATCTTAAAATTAATGACCTAAAACTGCAATAGTATATTACAGTACAAGTGAAAACAGTTAGTTTCATTTAAGCATGTGTCTGATTTGTGCAATGCTTACAAAATTTTCATAAGTATTATGGGGTTCCCACACTAAAAACTGGTCTATAGCATATTCATTATAAAGTAGTACTGCAAGATGGATTACACATGATTGAACTATTTTGAAACTATCGACTGGAGTATATATTTGAAAAATTTTCTGCTGGTGGTTCCTATTGTTTCAAAATGAAACAGTGTAGTCAAGAAGATAACAAATTAGACCAGAATATCTGTAACTGTACATCTAGAAATAATTGTACATGTAAAAATATACAACAGTCAATTATAACATTTATATACATTTTATTTTAATTTTAATCAAAAACTTCTTTTGATAAGTAATAATATGAACTGTGATGTTGACCTTTAATGTTACAAAGTATTTTCTTTTTCTTTTGTACTAGATGATTGTCCGTAAAATCATATATGAGAGATTTGTGGAAGACAAATTACAGCAGTATGTTGATCTTTGCTCAGTTAGTAATGTAAGTAAATGACCATTTCTTAGCTTGTTTTCTGAACCAATATATTCCTTATTGTACAGATCTAATTTTTTTTCTACTGTCATATAAGTTTTAAAGCTTCTATCACATATATTCCAGGCTAACAGTTTAGTCTTTCTAATATTTAGAATGTTTAATCATTGGTATTTTCTTGATAATAAGTAAGTAATTTGTTGTAACAAAACACTGATGGAATGTTTGCTTTAAGAGCAATTTTTTTTTTATGGAACACATTTGGAAGGAAACTTTTATAATACAAAAGAAGAAGCTATAATATTTTCTGTACAGTAGATTTTTCTTCCACTAAAATAACTATTACCAGCATTTAGTGGCCACATGCAAATAGGTCTTATGAATTTGCCTTTTCTTTGATATAAATTCTGTCAGATATTTAAGGTGTTTAGAAGTTCAAATACATTTTACTTAAGTGTATAGGCTGATATGGTTTCATTTATTTACAAATTAATGTGAAATTTTAACCAAATCCATGTTTTATTATGAATATGAAATGTAGAAATTTAAGCACGATGCATGCACATATGAAAAGGGAACAGATACATTTATTGGTATTTATGTATTTTCATGTCAACTGTATCAGTCTTATCATCTATGAAATTTATGCCAGTCATTCCAGAGGAATTTTGAAGGAATAGATGGCTCTTTATTTTGTTAGATAATCCCTGTTTACTTAATCAACAAATACAAATTATGGGTACACCATAAAAAAAAAACTTAAACCATGTGAGGTCAAACTTTGAGATTATGTGACAAGTTTATTAAAACTTGGGCCAGTCAGTCTGCAGCCAAAATTCCTTAGTGGCATTTAAACTAGCAACAAACTACTCATGCTTTTCAAATCATGAATTTCACATAAATTTGTTTAAGTGTGAATCTAGGTGGTATCACCCAGGTTTTTTATTACCCCATTTTGCTGAATCTTAAGATATTTCTGTATTTTGAATATGCATGTTAGTATTGTGCTTGACAAAATTATTAAGATAAAATGTTCCAGTTCTGCAGCTAATTAATTCATTAAATTTTATAAGCTTTCCAGAGGGTGTGGAACCACTGTAGATAAAAAAATAAAGCAATGCAAATATTTTTATGCTGCTGCATTGAGAATTACTCAGGTTACATAAAACCAAATAAAGGATCTTATGTTATGTTTTGATGTCACACTTACCCATTATTTGTATGAAATCACATTTTTTAGCAACAGGTTTTGTTTGTCAAAAAGTCAGTGCAAAAATATGCTAAGTAACGATTTATTTATGTGAGAGTATTGAAGAAAATTATTAATCTGTAGAAATCTTGTCAGATGATCCTCTACTTTCAGGCATAATTGGTTCCTTAAAGTGTGTGTGAATGTTAAATTGTTCAAAAGTAAAAAATATGTGCCAAAAATGATTTCGGATTATTTTCTTTATAAACGTGTGAAGTTTATTGAGTCATTATTATCTACATTAGTCACCTTTTTCTTCCCCCCCCCCTTGATAAAGGTTTCTATAATATGCTTGTGTCTTTTTCTATTGCCCTATGTACTTAAGAAATACATTCTACATTAGGATCATATTCTTCCATGATATTCAAAAATTTAAAGTCCATGAATTCATATTTTTAATTGTCAAAGTCTGGACGTTTTTATCAGTTTCTTCACTTTAATGTGTATTCCATTGTTGCTCAATTAAGTAATCATTTGACAGAGATGTTGAGTGAGATTAAGTCAACTCATTAACCTCTTCATTGTTGTTGTCCAAGATTAGTTCATCCATTAGGGTAACTATTTCATCTGTTATAGCTTCCAATGTTTCTTCAAAATTTATAAAATCACTCATCATTTGTTGGCATAACTGTTTCCAGAAACATTTCATTGTCAACTCTTTTATTTCAGCCTACGAGTCTCTAGTATTGTCTATTGTTTTCCATTTATTATACTTCTTCCAAAAATCTGTTAGTGTTCTACCATCTTCCCTCTCAGTTGCCTTGATGCCTGTAGTCATTATTGTTCTCCTATAATATCATTTAAACATAGCTGTTACTGTTTGTTCCATGGGCTGTGTGAAGCAAATATTATTGGGAGGAAGAAACACAGCATTGATTTCTGGGTATAAGTTCTACAGTGATTTGGGTTGTCCTGAAAATTAATGCTTTAAATGGTAAATTCTTATATTTACAATGTTGATTAACTGTCAGCATAAAATGAAAAGTGAACCAATCTTTAAATGTTAATGCAGTAATCCAGACATTTTTATTTGATTTCTGAATGACTGGAAACAATTCTTTATCTTTATCTTTCAATCTTTGATATTTTCCGCTTGGTAAACTAACGATGGCTTCAATTTTAAATCTCCAGCTAACTTTCCATCCAGAAGCAGTGTCAGTCGGTTTTGGGAAGTTTTATGTTCAGGGGCAACCGTTTCTTCATTTCATAAAAATGTACAATTAGGCATTTTTTTCTAAACCAAATCTGTTTCATCTACAATGAAAATTTGACTAGGAGAGTATTCTGCATATACAATAATTTTAGGCAATGAGTAAATAAATTCTTTTGCAGCATCTTTATCTGCATCACTCTCCACCGAATTTAATATTATGTAAGGAATATATTAATTTAAACTTGTTGAACCACCCATTACTTGCTTGAAACACTGTTTGAATTTGCATGTAATCTAATCTTCCAATCTTTATGCAACTTAAGAGCTTTAGCTTGAAAAATTGAAAAACACCAAGGCACATTATTTTGATGTTCATAGTCAATCTGTGATGACAAAGATCTTTCCATTTCATCCATCATTATGTCGTGTCTTTTGGAAACAGTTTTTGAAGGTATATTTTCACAATTTTGAATATATTCTTTAATTTTGCTCTTTTTCAAACCTAAACATACTTAAGACCTGTGTACAAATGTCTGATTGAAGCAAAATATTCACTGTTTCTAGAATGCTTAATTATTTCCATTAGAATTTGTCTTATTTATCTTAATTATAATTTGTCTTGATCATATGAAGTTTATGATTCCTTAATTTCTTTTTGTTTGTATCAGTGCTGTAGTTTCTCACTCATGTTTATCAGTTTATAAGGGGAAAATATTTAAACATATGCAAATAAATTGGCAAAACACACAAAACATTACCACATGCCTAAAAAATAGAATTTTTAAAAATGTGTGAAATAGTAAAATCAAGTAATACTATTAGTTTGATGTGATGAAATAGGAATAATTTTGCATCTAAAGCTTCAGGAAACTAAAATAAGTGTCATATATTGGCTGTGGGGAAACTATAAATGACATTCCTAATTTATTAAATTAAAGTTCTTCATATCTCTGAAATTAATATTCCAAGAAGCATTAACAATAATAAGGTTAACTACATTAGTGATAGAATCTATTTCACAGTGTCTTAATTTGGTAAGTTGTAATTGCACAGTTTGTGTGTATTTAAATAACTTGTGTTCAGAATTAAATTATTTATTTTTCAGGTAAGCATGTTTATACTTGTTACTAAAAGATTTGGTTATTACATACATGGACGTTCTACTCATGGGAAAGCTGATGTGAATATGAAGGAAATGCATGAATTTCTCCGTAAAGAAGAGGTTAGTATATTGTGTTTTGCATGCTGTAAAGTTACATTATTAAATATTTGTGTATTAAAAATCAAATCATTATTTTATAAAATTTATACTAAAAATGTTTAGTCAAATTATTTACCTTAAAGGACTCTATATTCATTTTGGTGAATATAAACTTGTTTGATTCATTTTATGAAAGGGAATGTGTAATCAAACTTTCACCAGGCAAAACTGAAGGAAGGTAAAAGGTAGCTCAACAAACAGTTTATCAAAATTTGAGTAATCAAAGTTCTGTTGTCTGTGTTTACTATAATGTACTAAAAAAATGTCATTTATTTATTTTTTGAAGTGTACATTTAAAAATAATCTGAATTTTTAAATATTTTAAAAAATTATTTATTTAAAGGAAGATTTATGTGGCCATAGAGGACTATTACCTGATACTGAACAGCAAACATTTCAAATTCTGTTGCCACCTGGTGTTCATGATCAGTTTTTAAGACTGCTGGTTCCTCTAACCTCAGTAAGTTAAATAAACTTATTTTGGGTATACATAAGGATTTTTCGTAATTTTGTTTATTGTATGCTTTTTAATATGTTGCCTTTTTCTTCTAATTCAGTATAGTCAAGCTGCAGATAGAATGCAAGGAGGTAAGCCAAATTTATTATTATTTAAATACCAATAAGTTGAATATTTTAAACTGATTTTTAATGTAATATTTCATTCATTTCAGTTGGGGGCCGATTAGCTAAGGTTGATATTGATAGAGTCGCAAATACTCATTATATGCTCAATAAGTTTTTGTCAGGTTTCATTGAACACGTAAGTATAAATTACTCTTGTATAATTATAGTGTATAATATTAATCAACAAACACTATTTCTAATGGATTTTTCCTCTTTGCATTTAGTCTTTTAAAGACATGGACTATATTGTTAAAGATCGAGTTATTCTAGAAAACATATTTGATATCGAATGTTTTGAAGTAGCTGATCGTGGATATTTCTATAATGGTATGTAAAAAAACAAATTTCCTATTAAATTTAGATAATTGGTTAATGCACTTTTATGAACCAGTTATTCCAGTTGTCATTAAAATGTCTTTACTCTTTAAAATGTACTTTTTTGTATAAAAAAGCACTTCTTTTCTGCAAGTAAAATCTTCTATTTTACTGTAAACTAGTCCTATTATGATTAAATATTTTGAAGATCAGATTGAATTTTTACTACTATTATTTGGATAATAATATAAAATTTCTTCATCATGGTGGATTTTATTGCTAGTCATACAATTTTAATCATTTTTAACAAATTAAAATTATGGGCATAACATACACACACATATATATACAGGGTGCATAGGAAAGTCCCTTTAACCCGAAAATTCTTGTGAGCAGAGAGAGTTAGAGCTATGCAAGTGAGGTAACATTATAGTAAAGCAATGCCAGGTAAAAAATATCAAACTGAATAAATGCAAATTAGTGAAACTTTCCAAAAACAAGATCGTTAAATGAAATTTAAATGAGAAAAGAGAAAAATTTTTAAATTACATAACATAACAAAACAAATACCAAAATAATTTATTAATCTCCTCTGTTTTATGCTTCAAACAGAACTTGTCAAGGTAAAAGTGTTTTGAAGCCTTAAACCAAGTTCATTAATGAGTTTCAAATACATGTTTCATTCCTTTGAATCATCTGAGACTTAAAATCGCTTTTCATTACCAAACCTTCATTTTAAAACAAATTTTTAATAGGTCTCAAATGCTCAGATCTTTTCCCTACGTGCATTCATACTCAAAGTAAACCAAAAAGTTTCAGTTTGGTAACTTTTACATAGAGGAAACATTAGACCTTCATATTTTAGGAACACAATTTTATTCATTTTCCTCCAACCTTTACTTTTTGATATTCACAGATTCTTCTCTTTTCTTTTTTAATTCTTAAAGCTTCCATGGTGACTATTCTCAAGTGTATATATCTATGTACACAAACAAAAAGGAAAGATCATGGATTATTATTTATTATATTAAATCTACATTATTATTAGAAATTTATTTGCAAAAATGTTTTTGTTTTACGTCAGTTGTTTTAATAATATATTTTGAAATTACAATTTAAGATTATATGTACAGTTTTGCATTGAAAGCAAAATGGGTAAATACTGATCTATATGTATGTTTTTAGTCAGTGAAGTTTTAATTATGTGCTGAATATTATTTAAAGAATATGATATCATTTTCTCACATCATATTGCAAGGATTGCTTGCTGTACCATTAATTATATGCAGCTTTTAATTATAGGTGGTATAGATTTTGAAATGTGTGCATGTATGATGCTTTGTAAAAATGAATATAATTTAATGCAGTTACTTTGCTAGATATGCTTGGAAAAAGAGCTAGCACTGAGTAATGTAATGAATGTATAACTGAAATACAAATCATATATATGAATATAACAGAAAGTATGCTGCATCAGCTATTAACAATGAAACCTATTTTTGATAAGAAGTGTCATGTATAGAATTCATTTGTTGAATTCATTTCAATCCGTAATTGTTCTAACCTTAGACCCTAAAAGGTAACTCCTGAATTTCTTTAGAGCTTCTACTATAGCTAAAACTTCAAGCTCATAACTAGATAGCTTCTCTTGTTGGAGGCTAGTTTTTCTCATTTTATAATATTTTGCAGTATCACTCTTCAGAATAAACAGTTTGTTTCATGTGCTTTGCATTATTTTCTGATAATAATGCAATTGCATTATTTTCTGATAATAAGCTTTGAAAATATTAAATAAAAATATATTTTTTACATTGGAAAGTCCTGTCATACATGATATAAATATTCAAAATAATTGTTTATCTCTCATTGAAACTTGAAGAAACATTGAGAAATGAAAGAAGAAAAGAAGGCTGGTAAAAGAAACAGAGGAAAACTTATTGTTGTAGATGTGCGAAATATGATTTTTATAATGGTTTTCAAAATTGGTTTCAGTTTCTGGTTTTCAAGTGTGGCTTATAACAGAGCAGTGTTTTAGGAGCCAATGTTCTTTAAACACTTCAAAGGAAGTCTTTTGAAATTTATATTATTTTCAGATTTTGAATTTAGTATCTGGCAAATCAAAAATATTGCTAGTTGAGAGAAATATTTGTGGTCGGGAAGATGAAGATATCCTAGGGAAATTAACAATTCCAACGTTTTCCACACCACCGACATTTAATGAAAATAACAGAAGAAGGTTACATGTAGAAAATCAAATGACAGTGCCATTGTATACAAAAAAAATTTCACATCCTCACTTTACATACTTTTTAACGCAACAGCTTAGTGCCTACTTGCACTTGCTCTCGTATATGTAGTCAAATTACCATCTCCTCATGGAAACATACAGTTCTATATTCACCACCTTCACATGTAGACCTATGTCTTACCACCTTCTCGTGTGCTCCATATCGGTCTATCTGTCTTCCTCCTCTTCACCTCACTCTCGCTGCAGACGCATTGGTGAGGCCCTCTGGTGGCTGTGTTGCACTTAGCTGTTACCACAGCTCAGCAATCCTGACTTTGTTTTCGTCCTTGAAAACACGGATCAGCGACACTGGAACATCAAGATAGCACCTGGAAATAAATTAAAAAGAAAAGGAAGTGCAGAAGAACCACACACAGTCCTAAACAGGAGCATTCCAAGTCTTCATGTGATCAGCTGCTGTAGTGGTACATCCTGGACCTTCATGGTGTCCCACTTTTTCCACCTGGTACTGATCTTTGCTTTTCCTTGCTGTTATACGGTACGGACTGAAGAACTGCGGCCTTAACTTTAGACAACCTCCATACTGTGTTCTTTGTATGGCAACTAGGTCATTCACATTGTATATTTGTGCCTCTTTTCTCTTCTTGTACGTTTTTCTATTCTCTTCCTGAATTTTTAGAATGTTTTTCCTTGCTTCCTCTCTCATATCTTCTCGATCTTTCATCATAATATTTCTTCTTCTTTGAGAATTTCCATAATCTTTGAGTCCTCTCGATTTCTCATTTTAACACCAATGAGAAGCTCAAATGAAGAACTCTTTGTGCTTCTGCTCTTAGTGCTGTTCAAGATTTGTTGTACATCTCCAACATATTTGTACCACTTAGTTGGATTATCTATGGATAATTTGGATAGGACTGGAATCAGAGTTGAATTCTTTCCACTTGTCCATTTCCTCTAGGAACGCCTGTAGTTGTAAATATGTGCTGGATCTTCTCTTGACTACAGTAATCTTCAAAGTCTTTAGAGGTAAACGCCGTACCTTTGTCACTTATAATTCTCAAAGGATTACCGAAAGTTGATTGTTGCAGTTTCAGCTTCTGCAATGCCTCTTGAGCTGATGTAGACTTTACTGGATAGAGCCACACGAACTTTGTGAATGCATCAACCACGGTTAAGATGTGATTGTAGTTCTTATTTGTCGAAGGTAATGGTCCTATAAAATCTATATGAAAAGTGCTCAAAGGGCTACTATCTTTTGGTATAGGATTCAGCAACCCTTCACACTTACCTCGTTTTCTGTCGCACAAAATACATTCTACACAATTTGAGATAACTTGTTCAATTCGTTTTCTAAGACACTGCAAAGTGTCCCTTGTTGTGGGTACTACATATGATTTCTAGCTCTAATGCATCGGGTACCACAAGTAACTCGCGACTACTGTCGAACTTGTATAGTATACTATTCTTCACTAGGAAATCTTTCTTTAGTCCTTGCTCGACTTAGAGTTTTTAGCAACTGGAGACGCTCATCACTTCTTTGCGCAGCTGCAATTTTGGCTGTAACTTCTCTCCTGAGAACAAGTAACCATCATGACAACGTTTCTACTTAACGAATCCACATGCTTCATTTGTTGCCCAGATCTGTGAACAATTTCATAGTCAAATTCTTCTAGAAGTACACGCCCATCTCGCCACTTTAGGGGTTAGATCTTTTTTTTAAACATAGGTCTTCTGGAAAGCATCGCAATCCGTAACTTGTTCCTGACCTTAGATCCTAAAAGGTAATTCCTGAATTTCTTTAGAGCTTCTACTATAGCTAAAACTTCAAGCTCATAACTAGATAGCTTCTCTTGTTGGAGACTAGTTTTTTTTTACTCATGAAGTAAATGGGGTGTAACTGTCCATCATCTGACTTTTGTAGCAATACAGCGCCGAAACCATGACTGCTTGCGTCTGTATGCAATTCTAATGGTGCTTCCTTGTTTAAAAATATGAAGAACCGGACTTGTGGATAAAAGTTCTTTCAATTTGTTTTAAATGCATCTTTTTGCTCAGGCCCAAATTTGAATTCTGCTCCATTACGAAGATCACTTAGTGGTTTCGCTATTTTTGAATAATTGGCAATAAATTTCCTAAAATACCCAGTAAGACCCAAGAAACTTTGAATCTGCTTAAGGTTTTTGGGTTCCGGGAAATTTTGAACAGCCCTGGTTTTTTCAGTAGAGGGGCGAATTGTACCATCCTCAATAACATACCCGAGAAATTCTATTTTTCTTTTCAAAAATTGGCATTTCTTAAAATTAATCTCCAAACCATATTCTTTGGCTACTTCTAAAACGCGTTTCAACTTTTCTAAGCCTTCTTTCTCATTTCGTGCTGGAATAATAAAATCGTCCATGTAAGTAACAACAGTGTCATCCCGAATTAAATCTCTAAACACATTATAAATAAATCTTTGGAATATACTAGGGGACGTGCACAAACCAAAAGGTGCTTTTAGAAATTCGTACAAGCCTGCAATGAGTAATAAATGCCAAATATTTAGTGCAGTTTTCCTCAACTGGAACATGAAAAAAAAACCATTTTTAAGTCTAATGTCGAAAAAAATTTGCTTCACCCCCAAACGATCTAAAACCTCTTCTACTTGTGCCATAGGAAAAGAATCCTTAACTATTTTTTTTTTTTTTAACTGCCTGAAAGTCAACACAAATTCCGTGTCTTGCCACATTTTTTTCCACAAAACAATTGGCGAAGCATATTCTGAACACGACGGCTTTATAACCCCATCCTTTAACCATTCATCTATTTGATTATCAACAATTTTTTTTATCAGCAAAAGGAATTCTCCTCGAACGCTGAGAAACTGAAATTTCATCTTTTAATATTACTTTCATTTTTAAGTCTGTAGTGCGCGGCTTTTCTAACGGTTTATACTCATTAATAAGAGTGGAAACAGTATTGCGTAATCCTTCATCTTTAATGTGCCATAAATCTGTTTCGCTGTCTTCCTCAATGGCTGCAGAAATAAAAGACAAAAAATTCCTTTCCGAAGAGACAGAGGAATCATTTTCATATTGTGTAATCATCACCTGGTCAGAACAGATGTCAGGGAACAATTTTAGACACAACAAAATGCATTCTGTTATTAGATCATAAACCATCGCTGCTTCTAGTTCTTTTTTTTTTTTTTTTTTTTTTTTTTTTTTTTTTTTTGCTTTTGCATAAAGAAAAAATAAACTTAGCCGTTTCAACCACGTGACCAAAAGAACTTTTGAGTTCTGTTAATCTAGATGGTATTTTATTCAGAAAAAAAGTTTTCTTTGCAACTATCAGTTCACTTCCAGAATCTGTTAAACATTTTATTTTCTTACCATCAATCAACAGGTCAATAAATTCTAATTTATTTCTAGCTGCATTATCCAATTCAAACTTTAACCCAGGTACCTTTTTTTGACAAATTCTCCTCCTTTACCAAACGTTTGGGGCAATTTCTCGCAAAATGAAATAATTCCCCTTTACTCCCACATACATAGCAAATACATTCTGATTTACAAGCTTCCTTGAATCCTTGAAATTGCTCTATGCTTTTCTAAGATTGTTTTTGGAAAAATTAAGCTTTTTATTTTCTGGAGTTTTGATTCGCATGTTACTGGTATAAGCTAAAGATTTACCCCTCGAATAAAATAAATCACATTCTCTCCCCAATTTATTAGGTGAAAACCAACTTTGACCCTTCCAAATACTAATATGTTCCTTTGTTTTAGAATCAAGAGTTTCATACAACTTATCAGATACAATAAGTTCGCACAATTTCTTAAAGTCATCTACTCCCTCTCTTAACATACAATAATAATTGAAAGTTGCACTGATTCAAGATGCGAACTGAACATGTGATTCAGATGAATGTCTCTGCGCATTTTTAAAATTATTCAAACATTCAACGCGGTGTTGGCTGAAATTCTTTCTTTCAAGATTAGAGTTTTTTAATTTATCATAATCCGCGATTTCTTGTTCAGAAACATACGTTAAAACATTATTACATTTATCACCTAATAAATTAATCAACACTTCTGATTTTAACTCCACTGGTACACTTTTAGTAGTAAAGCTTTCTCAAGTGACTGAAAAAACAAATGCATAGCTTCCGGTTTCTGAGGTACAGCTATAGTTAGTGTTTTGACGCTTTTTAATGATATCTTCAACACTAGTCTGCAAGTTTCTTCTATCACCCAGTAATGATTTTAATTTTAAATTTTCTAGCTCAATCTGCTTTTCAGTTTGAGCTAATTTAAGATGTTCGATCTCTAACAGATAGTGTTCATTACTTGTTGTAGGCGTCCGATCCTCGGCGATCGATTTGACGAGGCCACGAACAAATTCAATGTTTGTTTTGAAGGCATCAGAATTTTGGATAATTTTTTTAATGTCAGCTTTTTTAGCATTTTCTGGAACAGTCTCTCCAATGTTTTCCGCAATTACTATTAAATTCTTCTTTACTACTATTAAACTTTTCTTTAAATTATTTAAGAAACTCATTTTAAAAATGAATCAGAAGTATCACTATCTTCAAGAAAGAAATAAAGCAAAGTTTTCACTGTACCTTCTCTGAAGTATCCAAATATTCAAGATTTTCTGTGGTCGGGGAGTTGAAGATGCTATCCTAGGGAAATTAACTATTCCAACGTTTTCCACACCACAGATATTTAATGAAAATAATAGAAGAAGGTTACATGTAGAAAATCAAGTGACGGTACCGTTGTATACAAACAAAATTCCGCATCCTCACTTTTACATATTTTTTAACATAACAGCTTAGTGCCGACTCACACTTGCTGCCGTATATGTAGTCAAGTTACCGCCTCCTCGTGGAAACATACACTTCTATATTCACCAGCTTAAAGTGTAGACCTACGTCTTACCACCTTCGTGGGCTCCATATCGGTCTATCTGTCATTCTCCTCTTCACCTTGCTCGCTGCAGGTGCATAGGTAAGGCCCTCTGGTGGTTGTGTTGCACTTAGCTGTTACCACATATGTATTACAGATATTTGTGGAAATTGGAGAAAACATAAAGGGAGAGCTAGATCTTGAATTAATATTTTTTTTAAATCATTTGGTTTACTTTTTGAACTGCTCATTTTAAGATTTCATATTCTACATTTTTAATTTTTGATATTAATTCTTAAAGTAATGGGCATTTCTTTATCATTATTGATACTATATTGATTTCATATATTGATATATATACTTATTACTATATATCAATATATGAAAATAGTGTCATATTTTTAAATGTCATAAACATAATGTTTGTTATTATATATATATACATATATATAATAACATAAACATATATAAATTATATAATATATATATATATATATATATATATATATATATGAAATTTTAATGTAAACATTTTGAGGTGTTAGACTGTGGTCTAAAGTTTTCAGATTATTCTCAAAAAAGAGAGAGATGGGTGTTATTATAAACAATGTATGCATGAGTGCATTCAATAAATGCAGGAAAATTTAAAAATCAACCTGCATTTATTGAACTATTTGGGAAGCACTGTATCTTTTAGTCATTGTAAATGGTTATCGTCATTTAAATATATACTGTATTTGGATAATACATTCTTTGCTTTTAAGTGAAGAGTTACTGTTAACATTTTAATAAATCAATATTTATGATTTATTTTGAGTTACATTCCATAGCTGTCATTTTGTAACTTTTCTCTCCTCTAATGATTTTTAACTGAATATTTTCAGAAGATGGGCGAGCATTCTCTGCAGTCCTGTTTTATGGCAATGAGAGTATTTTGTTGTTGTTTGATGTACTTCTTTTCAGTGTTATTGATCTTACTTCGTGTGATTTTGTCCTCTCTGTAATCCTCACTTTCATCATTGCAAAGGTATCTGTTTTTCATTTGTAATTATTGCTCATTAGTACATGCTTCTCAAAAGTATCATAATTTGATGAAACATTTTGTCATTAAGAATTGTTTTGCTTTGCTTTACTGTAGTATTGTAGTGCCAAATGCAAATTAGTAGTAAATATAGAATGCAAGTTTATTGTTAAATTTAATTTTAAATCATTGTCAGAATATTGTGTGTCCATTTGCATCTTTAAATTAAAATAACTTTAATGGTGATATTTTAATAATTTGCTTTTATAGCTTTATTTTTGAGCAGCTGAATGAAGTGTAATAATTGTGTTATGTTAATTTGCTATGTGATTTAAAAGTATATGAAATATGTGAGAGTTTTTGTGTAGTAATGTTATTAAATGAATGAAATATACCTAATTTTGTGTAATTTAGTGAGCAGTATTTGTTTTTAAGTACTAAAGTACTAAAAAAAGGAGTCTAGGAAGAATTCCTAGACTATATCTCTTGAAAAATTGGTCATATACCATGCTTGCAATTTGAGAAGCTAATCAGATAGTTTCAGATTATGATGGTTTTGATCCTTGACACATTTTAGTAAAATAAATAAAGCCCTCGCCCATGCTGACTGTAGAGGGAAAAAAAATATCAACAAAAGAAGTATATTTTATAGCGAAATTAAAGAAACAAATTAAATTATCAGACTTATGAGCATCATAAATTAGAAACTTCAGTATGTGCTTTAACAAGTAAGACAACTTGTAAGATTCTGTGCTGTGTACTTTGAAGTTACAATTGAAGTTGAAGAATCTTGAGAACTGATCAGTGAATAATCGCTTGAGTTCGTGAGATAGAGAACAACACATAAGAAGAATGAAATTACCCTTTATTATTCCAATAACAAATTCCAGTGAGTTTAACAAAACTCTGTCTTGGAGTTTTACAATAAAGCCACCACTCGGGTTTGAGCATAGGAAACTAAGAACTAAACTAATCTTAACTAAAAAAAATATAGCGGAAGCTATCAGAATTCTAACAGAGTTGGCCCCTTAATGCTGAATAACTGTGAAGCTATCAAGGGCCTAAGTATGGCCAAGTGTAATAATAGCTTAAGAGAGAGTAGCATAAAAAGGCGGACACGAACTAGCCAGAATCATTGGTTCTCTCTAACAAAGTCAGTAGAAACTTCACGGTTAAATTTAAATATTTCTCATCATTTGCTTTCATACACGGTTCTAAAACTACGTTCCGGTCGGAAGTTGTAAGTTGAAATTCAGGAAAACAGGAAGGGAACTTTAATTCAAAATTAAACTGTTAGAGAAATTAACATAATCCTTACAAACTGTATACCCATAGTTTGAACAGACTTCAATTCCTGGCAACCAGGCTGACTGTTGAGAGTTTCATGGTTTTCTTATGTACGATGTGAATAATAGCTAATTTCGCTTAGGCATTCCTTCACGAAGATAGCCTTGTGTGCTTTGGCGTAACCAAACTATTCAATAGTCAGTGAATGGATAGCTGAAGACTGTATGCAGTGGTTGTAATGATGACAATTGCTCATCTTTTGGGGGGGGGATATTTTTTTTTTTTTAAAGGCCTCTGATATCAATATTTTCAATCATTTCATAGGGTGAAAATGCTTTAAATCATATATTTTTGACAGTTTGTTAAGGCCAGTTTTTCATATAATGTTGCTTTTTTTTTTTTTTTTTTTTTTTTTTTTTTTAGGCCAGTTTTCTTCTTACATATGCAAGTTGAATCTTAGTAGGATAATGAGCAGCTTGCTAATTAATACTTTCTGGAGTATATTAACAAAATTTAATATGTTTATTAATAGGTGCTTCATGATCTAATTTGAAGCAATTCTCAGCATGCCTTATTTAATTAATTTCTGAGATTGGAAATTGGGTTTTATGTTAAGGAATTCAAGCAGTATTTAGTTGCATAGCTTTACAGGTATTCTGAGTTTTATTAATGTTTGCATTATTCCACTTTTACATAAGATTTAAATTAGTACCTTTATTCATCTAATGTAAGAAAACTCAAGGGATTTTCTCCTTAAAGAGCAAAAGTGAAAATCAAAATATTATTTAGTGTTTGTTTTGTGCACTAGTTGCAGAAAAGAATAGCATATTTTAAAAATGTCTACATCTTGCAGTTTCATTATGAAATTGTATAAAGGCTTAAAGTAATTTTGCAAGGTGCCTTTATTGCCTGCCAAGAACTGTACTGAAGAAAAAATATAGTAGGCTTAGTAATGAAGCTTTTTCTTTTGCTTCAGGCCATTCATATAAATCGTAGCAAAAAACAAACCTTGACTTGCTCACGAAAATGTAGATGCAGTGATTTAGTGATTACATTTGGTGACAAGTTATTTAGTACTCTTTGCTATGCATAAACTTATATCTCCCATTGCCAAATCTCCACTCAATGTATAAATCGCCCTTGCAACAGCTGTAGTTCTTTCAGTATGCTAGCTCTATTTTTAGTTTTGGAAGGTAGAACTGTCCTGTGCATGTTATCATGCCCTGTTTCTTTTAGCGTTGTTTAAAGTTTTGTATAATTTGTTTGGTTTTGAGAAGACTTGAGAATGCATAGTGACATTCCCATTTAAATTAATGGTAATTTTTTTTTATCATGCTGTACCAATTCATAAACTTTCAAATGTATCACAGGAGCATTCTCCCTTTATAAACAGGAATTATCTGTATGGTACTATAAATAATGTACCAAGTGAAGCCCAGCATTCTTTTTGTATCCAAGTTATTTATTTCATTTTAAGGAATAGTAACTTTTTTGTGTAATTTTATAGGCTATTCAAGCGCTGAGAAGGAGTGCTGGAAGAAGAAATTTAGTACGAAAAGCCCTAATTGATGAACGTTTTTTGACTTAAGAATTCCTTTTATCATAAAAGTTTAAAGAGGTCTTTATTGTTAGAATGCTTATCAATAGTCAATATCTTTTCAGCTTAGTATATCCAAATCTGATTTGGAATTGTACAATTTTTACGTCTTTCAGTCATTTATTGTAAATAATTTTAGGCCATGCTATAATTTACATTATTAGTTGGCATGCTACTGCCATTACTTACAAGCAGCAATACTTATGATTAGATTTAGTTCATATATAAAATGTTTGTATGATATTCTGAAAAATACTTAATTGAATTTTAAAAAAGAGTATTACTCAGTATTAGCAGAATGCTTTTTGTTAAGTTTTATGTATAAAAAATTATGTATATTATTCTGGTAAATATTTATTGAATTTTGAAGGCAAGATTTTGTTCATTATTTTATAGAATGCTTTGTGTTGAAAATTTTTTATGCCAATATTTTTATATTTTATGTATTTTTGTCTCTTTGTGATTGTTTTGCAAACCACATTGTTTAATATAAGCCATTAAATTTTGTTTTATTGAAATACATAAATTATTTGAAAGCTCTTTACTTTGATTTGTATATATAGTCATTTTCAGAGCTATTGTATATTTTTTACTTTATAAATTTATAATGTAGTTTTTTATTAAAAAGTTAATCATATTTAGACATTTTATTATATATGTTGCTTAAATTTTGGATAAAAAATATCACTTAAAAATATTATTCAAATTAGCCACAATCCTAATTGTTACGTATTATGCATAGTCTTTGAATTGCTTGTCTTTTTTATGTGAATTTTCCTCCTAGGAAAAGCTGTATAATTCCTTATATTTTGATTTTCATAAAACATTTTGCTATGAGCTGGTTTATGTTTTGCTTCATTAAATAAAATTGTTCTTTAAAAATCTTATTTCAGAAGCTGATCTATATTTCAGCTCCTTACACTTTTGTGAAATCTGTGGCAACTATATATCATAATTATGCAGCTGTCTGTATTGATCCATTTGTATTTTTCTAAATCATTTTGACACGTTTTCATAATTTCTATTCATTTAAGATTTTGCTCAATTTACTCTTGTGATCTTTGATAGTGATTAAGGGAATGTTAGAATATTTTGTGAATATATTTGAAACAATTTCCTTTTTTTTCCTTTAGTCTTCTATTAAAGTACATTAAACCCTTAAAACTTATTGCTTAGAAATCTAAAAGAAGAATAAAGCTTCTCCAGCATAATAAATATATTTCAGGAAAAATACTCTGAACCATTATTTAAAATGTGCTAATATTAGTTTATATTTGACCTTGATTTTTATCTTTTGCAAGTAATATTGGTGCATTATTTCCAATTATTATGAGTGCAAACTGAAAATATATCTAAAGGAAATTTCCATTTTCTGTTTAGTAATGTAGTTTATATTATAGAGCCAATCTTATTAAGTAGCTGTAACAATATAAAAAAATTAATTTCAAGAATTTTTTTTAAATATAGTTAAAAGCAAAAAAATCCTGAGCTAAAATCCTACCTCAGGACTTTTATAATAAAATTATTGCTCAAATATAAAGATTAAAAGAATTAATTAAAAATCAGATGCAAACTATCAGTACATATATTAACGTTATATATAAGTAATAGATTATCAAGATATTAGTAGCTGGCAAACTGTAACGCAAATGATATCAGAAGCATAACTATCTTTTTTCTTCTAATTGAGCATTTTACTTTGAAGGCTTGTGTTTTAAGATTGGTAAAAAAAAAGAATTTGAGCTTTGAATGATAAGTATGTTAAAATACTTAAATACATTTTTTTTAAATAATGACAGGTTATTATAATAATTTGATGTTGTTTATTGCTAACAATTATTTAATTGATTTACATTTATTTTAAAATATAAATGGATATTAGAATCTGAAATCATTAATGTTTCCAAAATATTTAGTTTTAATAATTTTTTATTGTTTTTCTTAATGAATATTTAGTGAAGACTAAATTCTGACCTGATTTTTTTTTACTTTCATTTTACCATCTCACCAATATTTATTACATCTATTTAGTTGATTTCACTTTGTCTTTCTTTTTAAATTAGATTACTGTTTATTTAATTTAATTTGTTTTAGACTGTAATTTTAATAGTAAGTTTTCTTCTTTCATGCCACTCACCGAGAAAGGGAGATTAAAGATAGATAAGTTTTCTAAAGGTCCATTTTATATATCTAAAAGCTGATTCTCTTTTTTTTTTTTTTTTTTTTTTTTTTCATAGCAAAATTATGTGTTAGGCAAAAATTTTTAATTTTAAACACGGTAACTGCTTAAAATAGTCTCAGATTATTCATAATTTCTCATTAATTAATTATTGAATTTTTGTTCAAAAATAATTTTTGACCTTCTTTCTAATTTTGTTATTTGAATTCAGAATTTTAATTTATTATGCAGTATAAAAAGAACTATTATTCCATTGTATATCTATGTAAGTATTAGGCAACAGTACTTTTCAGTGTTTTATATTCATAAACATTTCCATAACCAGTAGAAAGTTTTTAGTGGTTGCGTGCTGTAAAATTTTTTTCATAGTTTGTTGTGTACGTATCAAGGTTTTTGCAAATGTTCTCCTTGAAAATATTTTACATCTTTTTATCCCTCCATTGCTGTAAATACCTTAGAATATGATCATTACTTATGATGTATATTTACTAAAATAAAATTGCTTTCAATTCTATTATTTTTCAGTATTTTTCTTAAGAAGTACTTTTGATATTGATCTTTTTGAGTTTAAATTATAAGTGTGCTCTAAAAGTGATTAATATGTTAAATTATTTGGAAGGAAATGAAGAATATGTAATGAAATAGAATAATTATAAATTTGCAATGCATTCCTAATACATGCTGCTACATAGTGCATAATTTTTAATTTCCTGCAGTTTTTTGTGGTGTTATATTGGATGACTAAATTTTTTACCAGGCTTCAAAAAACTAATTGTATGATGAATAAGTAATGAAACTCTTCATCCATGAAAATAAGTATGAAGACCCCTCATCCATTAACACAGAAATTTAATTATGCACTATTTTATAGAAAATGAATACAATTTCCCAAAATATAACAGGTGATGTCATACTTCAGAGTAAGTAATTGTTAGAAAGGTTAAAGACAGTAGCTAGTTGGAGCCATTAAACAATTATTAGAAGTATAGTTAAAAGAAAGTAGAGACAGTAAATAAATATTAGAAAGTGGTTTAACAAGCTTTTAATGAAAGTTTTATATCTATTATTTATTTGATTTTAAAAATAAAAATTGCTTTTTCTGTCAGAAATATGAAAATACAGTGAAACCTCATTACAACAATATATGTTTAGAAAAGCATATATCAGGCCCAGTGGGGCCCCACATTTTTGAGCATTTAATAAGAGTTTTTTTTTTATTATTATTAGTTTAAGGTGCATAACATACTACTTTTAAGTCTATATTAGAAGAAATTAATTTGTAAAATACTAATAATAGTGGTTTAAATACTAAAAAAAATAAATAAGATAAATTCAGAAAATAAGCACAGAAATATTCACATACCTGAAAATACTTTTTATTGAAAATAATCCAATATTTTTTGTTTATTTTTGATTTTTTTAACTGTTAAGTTCACCAATACTGTATGCATTGAGTCTAGTGCACGAAAATGTTCTTCATTTGTCGACGGAAGGCTTGAAAAAAATGTCCGTAGAGAATTCACAGATTGAAGAGCTTCCTGGGATGATAATAAGGACTGCGATGGACCTGTATTATCATCATCATCATCTTCATCATTGTTTCCTATCTCATCAGTAATTTCAGAGAGAATATCTTCATCAGTAACTCCTGCGAAAACCATAAGATCATCATCTGCTGTTAAATAGTCTTCTATACTAATTCCAAACTTTTTACCGCTTGTTTCCTCAAGTTGGGATACGGATTTTTTTATGTGCAAAACACATTCTTGATCATCTGAGAGATCATTGTCTATGGAATTTTCATCATTATCAGATTTCTTATCTTCCATAACACAAAGACCGGCCTTTTTCCAGCAATTCCGAATGGTTTTTTTTCTGTTACTTCCCACCAACTTCCAGCAATATTGTCACACGCTTCCTTGACATTTACAGCTTTGAAAGGGTCTTCTACTTTATTTTCAAAGTTTACAAGTATGGAGTCCACCAACTGTTTTCTGTAATATCCTTTGAAGCACTTAATTATGCCCATATTAAGAGGCTGTAAAATTGAAGTGCAATTGGCAGGGAAAAAAGCGATTTCGATATTTTGTAGCTTTGAAAATGACGTGTGAGCACCGCAGTTATCTATAAAAAAAACGATTTTTTTCTTTCTCTTCTTCATTTCATTGTCTAACTTCTGTAACCATTCAGAAAAAATTTAGACGTCATCCAAGCCTTCTTATTTGCTTTATACTCCATGGGAAGACTTTTCACGTTCTTAAAGCACCTTGGCTTCAATGATTTACCAATGATGAGAGATTGTATTTTATGCGTTCCTGTGCTATTTGTACACAGAAGAACAGTCAGTCTCTGCTTTGATTTCTTCCTTCCATAACACTTTTCACCCTTGAATGCCAATGTTCGATCGGGTAGGAGTTGGAAAAACAGCCCAGCTTCATCTGCATTATAAATGTCTTCTGGAGCATACTTTTCTAAGATTTCTTTGTCTTGTTTTGCCGCCATTCATTTGTGTCGTTTATCGGGGCTGACTTTTTCTCTCCGTGAACTTCTTGGAAAGTTATTCCATGACGATCTCGAAAACGCATTAACCAACCATTGCTAGCTTTGAAAGTTTCGTTCCCTAGCATTGCTGCAAATTTCCGTGCTTTTGCACATAATAAAGGTCCATTTATTGGGACATTTGTTGCTCTCATCTCTTGAAACCATTTTAAAACAGCAGCATCAATGTTTTTATTTGTCGTAACTTTCAGTCATTTTCGCTCTGGGTTAATTTCATTTGAAGTTACAGCATCTTCGATTTGCTTTCTCTTCTTTAGGAACATTGCAACTGTAGATTGCGATAATCCATGTTTCTTAGCCGCATCAATCTGCTTCATTCCCTCATCAATATCATTGATAATGTTTAGTTTATCTCGAAAAGATAGTTGCTTTCGCTCTGCCATCTTAGAGAACAATATCGCGTGAAAGAAAAAGTTTAAACCAAATGTTTCGCGTAGAACTCAAAATCGTTAAAGACTATAAAACAACCTTTGAACTCACTTTTCAGTACGTCACTTAACCCCTTCGCGCCGACTGTCACGTATACGTGCCAGCAACGAACACACTTATCTAGTACCTTGGAACGTTTCTCAAACTATAATTTCTGCCACAAGATGGCACTGTATGTCCATATGGTTTCAGATACATGTGCATTAGACCTTCTACTTGAAATGAGAGAAGCATGACTCACATACACGTGTTTATGATTATATAAACAAACGGGGAACTAAATGTTTCCGAATGGCGTGATTTATGACGTCTCTTTAAATCGCACTTTATTCACACGTGGTAGTTGTTTATTGTAAGTAGAAGTTTTATATGCGCTAAAGCGTTGAGTATTTCCGTTTTTACAGTTCAGTTTTTAGAAAATAATTAGATCTTGTTAGAAGTGAATTCTTTCTGTTTTTACCGTTTCAATGTCGAAGCGTCGAAAATGTTTAACAGAGCATGAAATAGCAGAAATGATGCAAAATATTTCAGATATTGATTCTGAAATTCTGATATTCTGATATTGATTCTGAAAGATTAACTGAAAGACATTTTCCAAAACTTTGTTCAGAAGAGACTGATAAGAAAATGAGACGACGATGCTTCGTTTGTTCACATTCCCGGAAAAATCCTCCAAAACGGCAAATGAGTTATTACGAGTTCAAGGAATGTAACGTAGGACTGTGTGTAGATCCCTGTTTTAAAATTTTTCATACAAAAAGAGAATTTTAAGTAATATATTTAGTTCTCAGATTATAATGTTAAAAGTCATAAAATTGTGAGTAATTAAAATAAAATGTGTAAAATATGCATTTAAACAAGAAATAAGGTAATTAAAGTATATATATATAAATATCTATAAAGCATAAGCCGTTTAAATACTCTATAGAGCATTATTAAACAATGCGTTGATACTTCGGAAATTTCATGGATTTAGGCTTAGTAGCAAAAAAGCCCCCGGCCCTGGAGAGACGCTCGCGTAAGACACTGCCGGCCTCCGCGATAAGCGCGCGTTTTCGCTACCCGGCTCGAAGGGGTTTTAAATGATCAATCTTAAAGTGATCTCCTTCTAAAAATATGTAACCTATGTGTGGATTGTAAGAAATTATCATATTTTATGGTAGTTGTTTAATATATCCAGCTGGTAAGTAAAAACTTCGTAGTTCTATTCCATTGACAGCGTAGTCTGTATTTTGCACTTTCCTTTCCGAAGACCTGACAATTTATACAAGATGAAAGTAACTCATTTGCCTAAAATTTTAAGATGCTAAAATCAATTTGTACAGAAATATCAGAGCTAATTTTGGGTTAAATTAGCTCTGGCAGCTAGATTATTGTATTATATAAAGAATATGTTGAAATGTTATTTGAAGTCTTGAGATGCGACAGTCGTTTAGGAAGACGCGGATTTCTTTTTGCAGATCATTCTGTCATTTCTTACTTTGGATAAAAATTGTAAATAAGTAACACTTATCTAGAATCCCGTCTGAAGTTATTCTAGAAATAGAATATCTTCCGATGATTAGTAACAAATAATGATTAATACCCATGATGATTGACACCAATACTTCTGATAAATAGTACCAGGCCAGATGCAATCGCCGAACCGCCACATCGACTACCAAATGCTTGCCACGGGAAAAGAAAATTCAGCATCCGCCAGTACTGTGGGATGCAAAACTAAATACTAAAAAACTCTATCGCATATAGCATCATAAATCTACGTTCTTTCGAGTGCTTAGACTGGGAAGGCAAGATTAAAGTGGGGTAGTAAGCATGAACATAGCTACAACAGCTCAGTAGATTTTTCAAAAGTTTGGAACAGGAAGGAGTTCGGAAAGATGAATAGCTGATTGATTGAAATACGAACAATCTGGAAATTTTTGCGGAAGAGAGAAAAATGTGCGTCTATTCAGTGAGAAATCCGGTTCTCTGAAACAGACGAATATATTGATAGCACTTTACGGATTTGTAAAGAACGAAGAATAAATAACCAGTGTGATAACATTGTTGGATACCACACTTTTAGTAGGAGCAATGGGGTAATAAAAGTTACTTTTTCTTGTTTTCGGAAGAGTAAATTCGCACCAATATTTACGTGTTCACCAACAGATATGATGATGATGATGGAGAGCCACCAGGATCTCTTCGCGAGACTGTCCACTTCAGCAGAAAGTACAGATTTCCTTTCAATGAATAGGCAAATAGCCTTCTAGTGCTTTGCCATAAACAAATAAACCAAACCAAACCTTTCAATGGAGAATAAATAGAACAAATGTGATGAGGGATTAAGAAAATACTGGTCGCATGCTGTTGTTGATAAGGTCAATCATGGGAAAGAATTTCAAATGACTTTAGAAGAGCTGTGCCTGAATTTAAAACCATTTACTTACCCATGCTGCAAAATATCCTTTTACGGGAAATAGAGTTGTTACTCTCTAAAATGTCGAAACGAATCTTGTGTTACAATCAGGAAAGGATTCATTC